GGATCCGACCTGACTTGATGCTGGACTTTAGCCTAAGTACTCGTATTATCAGCTCGCAGTGCGGCTGGCGGTTGCATAACCCGTCCCAAATATTTGCGAGACTGGGCCAGGCCCAAACCTCTACCCCACCTTACCCCACCCCACCCTACCCTAACCGAAGCGTGCACTTACTTGTCGGACAAACAGAGACGCAGATGCAAACGCAGACGATAGGTGGCGCTGGCGCTGGCGCTGAAGAGTTTCCGATTTGGAGATTATTTGACTTGCTTTTGATTCCCAAAACACCGTACGTATCTAGGTCAATGACACTCGCTTGCAATTTCTGCGATTTGAGCTTTTTGTTGTTTTGATTTTTCGATTTTACCGTTTCGTTTCGGAAGGAGCACTTTGGGTTGTTAAAAAATTTGTGATTGCGAGAACAAGGCACTAATCAGATCGAATCTACTACTTTATGTTAGTGATTTTCAACAATTTGTTTTCTTTCGGTTTGACACTAGAGGTAAGGCATGTGCCGATCGTAAAGATACACACACACACAAGTACGCATATGATTTGTATGTATTTATTTTAGTGGAATATACCTATACGGCTGACACACAAAACGGGAACTGAAATTCTGCTTGAGAAATTTCTCCAAATATTTTCACTTTTGCGAGCTGACGCTGACGCTGCCTGCTGTCGGCGCTGACGTTAACGCTGACGCTGGGCTGTGATGGGAGGCAGAGACCTGCGTGAGTGAGTTGCTGGCTCCTCTCTTGACCGCTGCGTTTGCGCAAAGAAATCGAACGACTGCGACTGAGATTGCTACCGACAGCGACACGACGACACCGACACCGACACCGAAACCGACCAAAGCAGGAGACAGAACGATCGAGAGCGAGGGCAACGGGCAACGGGCGTTTGGCGAGGGAGTGAGACTTGTCGGAAAGGTGTTGGGAGAGCGATAGATAGAAAGAAGAGAGTTCTATGCTCGCTTCGCTTCTTCCTCTGCTTCGAGCTGATTTGTTGTTCTTCTTTCAGTTGTTGTTGCCTTTTCTCTGCTTTCTTCTGCGGACTGCGGTGGGACGCGTGCGCTACCAACGCCGGCTGAAACTGAACTAAACTTGATCGCCAAAGAAGTGAAAGACTTTATGCAGCGACAGCGACTGCAGCAGCGACGCCGGCGTGAGCCAACGAAGCCAGCGCCAAAGCTGACTTCGGCTCGGCTCGCGGTGGGCTCGGACTCGGGCTGGCTGCCTGCGTTTTATCGACGGGCAAGAAAGGCAGCCAAAAGCGCACAAAAGAAAGCATCGAGGAGAGCGACACGTAAACGGGCTGAGATTGAGATCGTAATGGATGGAGGCAGAGCCAGAGGCACCGACAGCGACTCAGACTGATGCAGAGCGGCGACTGCAAGAGAGTCAGCAGCTGTGGCAGCGACGGCGACATGCAACAAGCTTTAATTGAAAAAGCCGCAAAGAACTGTTCGTCTGTGGAAAAACATGTCGGGGAAAAACAACGATGGAAAAGGCAGGGAAAGAAATCGAAGAGAAGGCAGACGGCGACCAGTGGCCACTGGCCAGGCACTGACATTGACCACAACGCGATGACGATGACGATGAGGATGCCGATGACGTTGACGCCGGCACCGACGCTGGGTACAGCAGAATCGGAAGACGCTGACGCAGACGTTGCCACTACCGCAAAAGAGGTCAAAGTATGAGCATGAGCTTCAACAGTATCAGGTATCGCAGCGGGTGCGGCTGCGTGTGTGTGCGTGTTTGTGCGTGTGTCCCCATGGATTTATGTTCGTGAGCGTGTGCATGCACAATCTTGCACTTGGCCGCCAGCTGGAGAGGAGCATTGCCAACAACAACAGCATGAGGGGGGTGGACGAGGGGAGTTCAGGTTGCCACGATAAGCCGCTAATCGATATTAACATACTCTGAATTTTGTTGCTTGCTGTTCGGACATAAAAACGTTTTTACGAAATCGTAGATAGAACCATTTACCATACAATTCTTATAACAATAAAATCGAATCCAAAAGTTAAGTAGGTGCCAAATAATAGATCATTTACAACAGTAGGGATGTGAGTGGAAAAAGTGCACAGAGTTGTCACCCTAAAGCGCGTTCTGGGCCAGAGAGACAAAAACAAACAAGCGAAAACCACACATATCTGAGTTTCCATTGTTATATTTAGATGTAGACATGCAGAACTGTTGGTATGGATATGTTTGTGCATAGCATCTCAGCTGAGGGCTTAAAATGAAAAGTTTTGAATAAGTTATAATAGAATTTCCACGTGTCAATTGCTCGGCACATAAATTATAGGGCTAAGCATCTGCGATGTCTCCCAAAGATTATCACGACCGATTGGAATACCAAATCAATTGTAAATGAACAATACAATTAACCGGTTGCAATTGATAATTGAGATCAAACAATTTATAAATATATTTAATGTTGAAAGCTGTAATCAGTGACACGTGGCTCGCCTGTGAATTTCTTTCGGTTCAGTTATCGATTAATGTATTCGCTTTACAGTGTGCAATCCTTATAGGGCATTGATGACTCGAAATGGTTGTATTGGACTGCTTAGCCCATCCGAAAAGCAAACAATAATCGACTACTGCCCTTTAGCAGTTCTCCCACAAGCAAAGACATGCAGAAAACATGCAGCAACAAAAATAACAACAGAAATACTCTTGCGGGGGCGGAGCAGAGAGCATGAGGCATGAGGAGCATGCCTGGCATCTGCCAAGCTGGCAAACAACCCACAGAAATTACTTAAAAAATAATCAAAAATACTCACAGGCCCCACCACACCCACAAGCACCAGCCCCCGTCAAGGGCACATGACAAAAGCTCCAATTTGGCATCCCCTTTGAGTGTGGGATGGGGTGGGGTGGGGTGGGGTGGGGTGGGGTGGGGTGTGGCCATTGTGGATCTTGGACCATCTAATCCCCAAACTGTCTGTCTGCCACGTGCCCCAGCACACAACTTGCTAATTGGCGCCGGTCAATATTTGGGTTTTTAATTGATTTCGCATACAGCACGTTATGAGAGCCACTCGCACTCGCACTTCCCACTGCCAACTCCCTACTCCCCCGAAAAGCGGAAACTGCGGCACGGATCGAAGAGGCAGCCAAGCGTGTCGCTCTTGGCCATGTTTGTCCGGGCCATTGTGGCAGACTCTTTACGTTTCTGGCAGGGAAAAACAACAAACAGCAGAGCCCGCATATAAATGATTCCTCTAATGTTGTGTGGGCAGGGGGAATTCGGGGGCAACTGTGGGTGGCTGTGGGGTTGGGAAAACCTTTTGCCTACTTTCGGGCCGAGCGTATGAATTCCAATACGAAGACCGGATGTGGGAAATGGTTTAGAGGCGCGGCACGGCTGGGGCACCATCACTCACTCGTTCCCGGGGGGAAATCTTTCAGCACTTTTATCGGCCGAGGGCACAAGTTCCTCCTGTTTGGTCATACTACATATGTGATAAGGAGGTGGGGTCTAATGGATACTCTGCTGCCAGGGCCAGGGCAACCCCTCAAAGTTGTTCATATTTTTTTAATTACACAAAGTTACGGCATTAGACGGCGTCCTGTTGACAGCAAAGCCTGTCCTCGTCCTCGTGCTCGTCCTCGTCCTCGTCCTCGACTGGTAAATGGCAAACACTCATCCGACATTCACACACATCCCCCCCTCGACCAAGCACCATTCATAGCTCTCTCTTAGAGAGCGGGGAGACAACAAAACGAGGAGGAAAATGACATAATGCACTTGAAATGTTATCGGCTCGATGTCGAGTGCAATAATACCACTACACACGCACACACTAGCACACGGGGAAATCCTCCGATAAATTATCTATTGTAGCACAATTAAGTCCCAAGTTTGTCAAAGCTCCGTTCATCTTGGGGCACACTTTCAGGCTGCTGCTGCTACATCCTCATCACCGTGCCACACATCAGGCACACGGCGCCCTGGCCCAAATTTTTCCCATTTTCCGGGCGGGCTGCGGCTGTGGTTGCGACTGCGACTGCGACTGCGGCTCGACCGACCACTACTCACTCATCATTTTTTATGCAATAGACACGAGGCGGGGACCCAAAGCTCACTTCCTTGGGTTGTTCGACGAGGCCGATATTTCGTATAATTTTTCACGCATTTTGGCAAACATTTTCAATCGGCAAAAATGTGATTGTATTTTGTGGAACTTTCGGGAAACTAATGGCTGACAGATACTGGAGGAAATGTCTTTTTTGAGACCAACTCGCGTCGACCGCCTTGAAAATCAATTGGAAAATGCCTGATTCAGTTTGGTTCTTCTTTTTTTTGCGCTTCTGCTCCCCAAGATTATTCACGCGCCTGCTCTCACCCACAGAGAGAGAGAGAGAGAGAGAGAGGCAAAAGAGAGGAGAGTGGCCTGCTCTTTTGCTACTATTTTCTACTACCTTTTTTCGGGGATTGGCTTGGGATTCTGCCGGCTTTTGGTCGGCCGTGCCGCAAGGGTGGCTGGCTGGCTGGCTGGCTGCTTATATAATGTGCGTCCAGCTGACTCAGCTGATGTAAGAGCGGACGATAAGATAAGTTCTTATCAGCTGGCTGGCTTATCAGCCATCAAACTACCCAATTTGATCACAGAAAATAAATTTGCTTTAGCCTTTTTCCACTCAAAGATAATTCGAATCTTCGTGCAGCATAATTTCAGGCCGTTTTCGCGCAAGCACGACCACACTGAAGAAGCTGCTCTCTCTCTCTCTCTCCATCTCTCTTTCGCTCTCTCTCCCGTTTAATGAACGGTCTGCTGTCTGCCGTCTGCCGTCTGCTGTCTGGTTCTCTCGCGAAAAGCTTAGCTTCTCTCTAGCGGAAGCGTGAAGCGGATATGTCAGATTTTCTGCAACATTTTTTACAACCGCCGCCGACGCTGCCACTGCTGTCGCCAGCGTTTCCAATAGCGATATTCTCCGGACTCTGGATGAGATAATAAACCCAGCGACATACATTCCACACACGAAATGGTGAAGGAGGGCCAGAAACAGAAGGAGGAGGTACGGCACTGGCTACAGCAGGGGCAGCTGACGAGAGGGGTCTATAAATAAATGTTTGCTCAAAACGAACAAAAATAATACATGCTCAAAACAGGGCAAAAATTATGCTAAAAATATCACCAAAAAAAAAAAAGAGCAGCGCACAAAACTTACAACGGGGGGGAGGGTCAGTCATGGGCGTGTACATACCGGCACAAAAGAAATGTGAGGTTGGAAGCGATGCTCCTGGATGGATGGCTGCTGCTACTCCGGCGACGATTTGAACTGAGGCTGAGCCGTGCTGCGGTGAGGGGTAGGCAGGGGGCGCAGGTTTTGGGGCAGTTGTAATCACAGCACTTGTTTTTCTTCTTCTCTAGTTATGGGCTCACTCTTTGAGACACTCACAGACACTGCTTGGAGCACTTATTGGAGTCGCGTGGGCTTTCCACGTTCACGTTCACGTTCACCCCCTTTTGATTATCTTTTGGCGTTACTTTTGCGGTTCGTTCTTCGCGCTTTCACGGGCAGCGGGGCAGGGTCAGAGAGGCAGAGAGCAGCACAGCTCGGAAGGCGACTAGCGACTGACGACTGACGGCTAACGGGCTAACGGCTGGCGAGGAGCAACGCCGGGCTGGCCGCCTGGCAATTTTCACCATTAATAAAACAGGGCCAAAGTTGACAATGGCACGCTCTCTCTCTCTCGCTCTCTCTGTCGCCTTTCTCTACTCTCTCGCACTTTCTCTGCTCTCCCGCTCTGTGTGTGGCCGCCTTTCTCCACCCTGCCAAGCACAGCCAGCAGCTTGCTCTCTCTCTACGGCTCTCCCTTCGTTGGGGTTGAGCTTTGACACCCCCGCCGTTGTCCGGGAGCTGCGCTGCTCTCTGCTATGATTTTTCCACCACCTTTGGCCGAACTGGGCCTGTCCTAGCGGGTTTTTTCTACTCAACGAAATCCGCCTTAGTCTAGTTCTTCTTCTGCTGTTTCTTCTTCTTATACGCAGAGAGCGAATGCGTTACAGCACAAATGATACAATTAATAATAAACACACGCCAAAATCTTTTTGTGCACTTTTTACTGCAGGAATCGTCGCATGCTTCGTTTCAAACTGCCGCCGGCGTTGCCACTCTCCACCAGCGGTGGCGTTGCCACCCCCAACTGCCACCCAGGGCAATTCAAATTCAAATTTGAATTCAAATTGAAATCCACTTGAGATTATAATCTGTCATCAATCTCGATTCGAGGCGGAAAACTCGACAGTCCAACCTTCGAGGGCCAAATATTTGGACAATGGCCACAAGGTCGCCGCTCGGCTCGACGGCAGCTTGCAGCGAGACGTAATATGAAAATCAAAACAAAAAGATGAAAACAAAACAGAAACTGCATTGTCATTTAGGCCTAAACTTGTTGGCTTGTAGCTGGGAGGGGGAGTAGTGTGGACGTGCTGCTCTCCACTCTGCATAATAATTAATTTTCATGAGGCTGATGTAAATACATTAAGACAAATGAGTAGGGAATGGAGGAATGATGGATGCTCTTATAGTCTTGGAGTTGCTTGGCAAATCGATTTCTCATTAAATGGAGCGTTAAGTAAGTGGAACAGAGCTGAAATCTGTGCTGAAATCATGGAAGGGACTGCAGGACTTCGAAGACCCCTCAAGTGATCAACAGTCTGCCAGCCAACTAGACTCTAAGAAAACAAAGCTGAACCTTGCTAATTGAGCAGTTGCCAGCCTCAAAGAGAGTATTACATGACACTCAAGCGAGTTTAAAACGTTAACAAATAGGTGAGACATCAGCAAACATACACAGAAAAAGGCCAACATACAAGATAATGAAAACCCAGGCCCAGGCCCAGGCCCAGGCTCATTACTCATTACTCATTACTCATGCGCAGCTCGGTTTGGGGCGGATGACGTGACGTTGGGCCACGACCAAGCCCATCCGTGGAGCCCCCTTTGGCGCTTCACTGCAACTCCCTGCAAGCTGACGGAGCACTAAAAAATGTGAGCAAATGTTGAAAATTCCCAGCTCATGTCGAGAGAGCCGAGCCGGCAAGTGGCTAAGGTGACTAAGTGGAAATTCGATTAACTAACAAGAGCCTTTTTCCGCTGCGGTTTCGCTATAGTAAAAATTGATCTTCGAGTTAATGCCAGCAAATGGCTTTGCTAATGGGGCAGATCGTTTCATTTGGGTTACGGATCCATTCAGAGAGTGGGGTGCCGTTATGCCAAACGGTTTTTGAATGCATTCAATTGTTCATCTCGAGAAATGCAAATGCATTTTTATCTGGAAAATGGCAGCATGAGACAGACCCTCAGTAGATTTACGACCGCATGGGCTTCCTCCTCTTACGACTTTCCTCTGCGTGTCATAGAAATTATTGCCAATTTTGGCATTTCCCAATGCTGTAGGACGGCGGGGAGTGCGAGTCCCCCTAATTGCGGGATTTGACGGTGGTTGCAGGCCTACAGTGGGAGCTTTCTTTCTGTATGTTCGGGGTTTGTCGCTTCCCCCTGAAGTGGGTCATCCGCAGGCGAAGATGGACAGAGCTTCCGTCAGAGAGGATGCGAATCATTGAAATCCCATTTAACAGACAGTTTCGTAAGACTATTTGCTTTGGCAGCATCGAGGCATCTATCAATCAATCAATTAATCAACAAAACAAAGCATTTTTGCATAATTAGACAACGAAAACGTGATCGGCTCCACCTCCAACGATCCGACACCCCTTCCCGGATCGACATCAAAATCAAATTATCAAAATCAGCATTACCATATACCAGATATAAATACATATGTATTGCGTTTTGACCAGAATAAAGTGCAATGGTCAGCGGTAAGACACAAAGAACAGGAAGCTAGGTGACCTGCTTAAAGCGAAGACCGCCAATTGTGGAGAAATGTCAAATCATTTTAAAAGAATAATGAAAAACTAAGCTAAACTACAGCTAAGAGTCATTTTCGAAGTTCTCTGTGGCACTGCGGCATTTCATTGCACTTATTTCAGTGTGTGTTTGAGTTTATTTTTCTTTTTAATCGAATCTCTTAACTCGAGCAGCAGTCGCTGTCTCGCTTTCACCCGCTGAATGGATGGTGGGATGGTCGCCAAACGGCAGTCGAAAGCATTGCCAGATCCACTCAAAAGATACCACGCACTCGTAATAGATCCGACCATGAGAGGAGGCACTTAGGTGAGAGGGGGTGAGAGGGGGTGGAGAGGGGGGAGTGCCATTTGGAGAGTCAGCTTTCTCAGTTACCGAAAACGCCGTTGTTTGCTGTCTTGTTGCTTCTTTGGCCACTCAAATGCGCTGCTCGCTCTCTCTCTCTCTCTCTCTAGGTGCTCCGTGTTCCGCTCTCCGTTAGTTTTGGTGCTTCTCCTGCTTTTGGCTGAGTGTGCTTATTTCGCTCGCTCTCGGTACCCAGCATTGAAGAAGGGTATGTTCTGTTGGGCTGAAGTTAATATTTTCTATGGTCTATCCGGTGTCTACCTACCAACCTGCAGAGAAAACAAAGCAAGCTGCTCAGTCGGCCAATCAACTTCCGAAGATGTAGTGGGTATTACACAGTCGGAATGTCGACTCTTGCACTCTGCTGTTGTTTGTTGTTGGCTTGGCGGTTTCTTAGCTGGCTTTTGATTGTTTTCTGTTCCGATTTTCATTACTTAGCTCTGTGACGTGAGCCTTTGTGAATTGAGAGCCAGAGACGGGCTGAAGCTACAAAAAAGAGAGTCACCTTGCGAGTGAGTGAATCCGATTTTGAGTCCAAGTTTGGGTTTCAGCTTAAGCTCTGGCCGCGCCATTTCCGCGGATCAGTCTGCGTTGAGCGTGCGTCGGCATTGGCAGCAAAAGGAAAACCTCTTAGCCTCCTCCTCACCCTCCTGCACCGCGTCACGTCACAGTGTGCTCGGCCACCCCCTCCCGCTGCAGACTTTGGTCGATATAGTTTTTCGGTCAGTTTACACTTCCATTTAACAGTTAACACTTAACACTGGCCATCACGACATGTGTGCCAGGCGTCAGCGTCTCAGTCTGCCCACCCAAAATCAAATCAAGTGCAAAGTGAAACCTCCCCCAAACCGAACTGAACCGAACCGAAGCAAACCAAACCGACGCGTGGTGCAATCAATGATAAATCATCGAAAATACGAGGATTGCAACAAATGGCGATCGCGGCGAGAATAGATTGCCAAACAATTGGAAATCGATGACCCAGCGGAAGTGTTGAAAGATTTTTGTGCTCAGTTAATCGGATATTTGTTTGTTTTCAAGGAAAACCCATTGGAAAAGCTGTTTATTATTCAATTTCACTCGAATGTTTGTTTTTCTTTCAGCTTTGCAAGTGTTACCTCTCTCTCTCGCTCGCTCTCTCGCGTGCTACCGCTCTCTTGGGTTCCGTGTGTGTTTCGGTTTTTGTCTCTCTGCGTTGGTTTAGTTTTTCGCGACTGTTTCTCTACGTTGTTTTCCTGACTTTGCTAGAACATTCATTGGAACAACAAAAAGCAAGAAGAAATTAAGAAATTGATTATTATAATTGGGTTTCTCCAGGTCCAGGTCGCCAAAATGTTAAGCTATTTCTGGGAGTTGACAGCGTGGCCAAATCCCGAAACCCTGCGAAACCCTCTTTCTTATTTTTTTATTTTTCGTGGTTCTATAATTTATTACAACTTTTTGGCTGTCTGACATCGTTTCTTGCGACGCCAACCGGTTTGCCAAATGTCCCCAAGAATATAAATAGATAATAATACAGTTTTTTTGTGGTCGAATTTTGTTATGGCCAAAAACAACGAACAGGAATTTTCAATTGTCCAATCTAAGTGCAAATTGTTGGAGCAAACGAGAGAAACGCCACAAAGAGGTCGAGACTGTTGATACTCTTTCCTGTCGGCCACGTTCGTTGCCTCAGTCTTTCGATTGACATTGAACGGAAGGACAATTGTTGATTGAACTGCTGCTCAATCAATGTGTGGCTTGTTTTCGTTGCTTTTGCGGCGGGGGCTTTCAATGTTAAGGTCTACGCCAAACACACAACAAACATTTAATGCTAATGCCCAGCCCCAAGTGCGACTTTTTTAGTATTTTGTCTCTGTTTGTTTTTTATGGCGTTCGATTGTCGATCCCCAGCCCCTCCACACAGCCATTGGATGGTTCATGCCTAGCATAAATAAAACAACAAATTATTGTTACACATTTGGTTGCCAAGGCGGAAATAAAAGCACTAAATGGAGTGGCATCAATATCGAATTAAAATCAAAATCAAAATCAAAATCATAACAAAACATGGGAAGAGAAATCATTGGCCTGGCCAACGGGAGGAGAGAGATCTGCTGGTCGTTAAATAGAAAGTGACCGAAATGGATCTTTAGTCTCAAAACAAAAACCCGAAAATTCGTCACAGTTAGAGCATACCCCAACATCCAATCGTTAGTTTTCGCCTCTTTTGGCCATCAATTTGTTGCCTAGGGCTTCGTTCGATACGATACGATTTTGCCATTTTGAAGCTGCAAAAGAAATTTCCAAATATTTAATATGCATAAACAGTTTCTGGCCCTCGCAGGGGGGAGGTTTGAGGAGCGGAAAGAGGCAGATACAGAGAGAGAGTCATCTATCTCCACAAAATCACGAACAAAACGAAGCGCAGACGTAGCAAAATTATGCAAATCTTAGGGCACATACAGTTAAAGCTATGACTATATGGACACATATGTATATGAGTTGGGTACATATATAATAGATTCCACGTTTTTCCCAACTCGATATGCAAAATAAAAGTTGGTAAACATCAACAATAGAGGATCGCTGCAAGTAACAAGAATTCATCTCTTCATTTCTGACCTCCAAGCAAACACCAAACGAGTGCCCATCTCTATCGTGTGTCTGCGATCATTCAAGGTTTTCGGCCAACCAAATGTCAAGTTCATCGATCCCCCAGCCTCCTATAAGACACCATTCATAGATCAATCCAAAGCCAACCGACGAAGAACCTTACTGGGTTCAAACTAAATGAATTACTAATACGAAATGTAGATGAAAATATGACAAAATGTGGCTGGGACTGGAGCTAGAGTAGAGGAGATGATGATATGCAAATTATTGGTCGAGACCTCTAAATGAAACCCGTTTGGAGTTGGCGGCATTGTCTTTCAGGCATCCCTCCATCCCTCCGACTGCCACCTGAGCAGCGACCCATTTCGATCTTCTAATGCGTAATTTGCATAATTCTGGCTATCGCGTGGACTCTCGGACCATGTGGCTTTGGCATTTGAAAGCGAAATGCCTTGAGCAACGGCGAAGAAACAGGCCAGTCATTGGGCCAATTGGCCAAGTGTAAATGTGTTGAGTCAGCATTTGGAAATGGAAATGGAAATGGGAATGCAAGCGAAGGTTAGTGGGCCTGATCTATCTGTCAGTTGGTCAATTAGCGGTCGGGTGTTAAACACCCAAAAAGAAGGGCAACCGTAGCAGCTGTCGGACCAGAGCTGGAGAGTGTATCTATGGGATGAGATTCGATTCATCGGCAGGCCCAGACAGACGGTTAGGAGACACGTCTTTGGAGATCAACACCGATGCGGCCGTGACCGTGCATTTTGATTAAGTTGTTTTGTCTGCGAAGTTCGAACAGAAACTCCAACTACATGTGTGGGGCCCAACTCTGGCTCAACTTAGACAGACGCTGCTTGGGCTCCGGCTCTGGCTCCGGCTCTGGCAGTGTGGCGGCCTTGACACAAATTTTCAGGCAGCGTCAAACACAAATCCTACAAACACAAAATGCGCACTAAATTAATCTCTCCGCTGAACAAATTGTTACGCATTTTGTTCATTATCTCTTCCACTTGCACAGACCTTAGCAGGCCTTAAGCAATGGCAACAACCCGTAACCCGCAACCCGCAACCCGCAACCCGCAACCCGCAACAAGATCTAACTACAACCATCGGATGTATTCGTATACTCGTACCTTGATTCGATTTCACATTCGCGTCTCTTTCGGCCTCTATCGCCTCGGATATACGCCTCATTTGCCATTAATTAGTCGACCTATTGATGGCTTCATGAGCCGAGGCGAACAAAGGCAGACATTGTGAGTTGTGTGGGGAAGTAAAGTTGGCTACTGTAGGCGTATCTGGCGTACAGGCGAAAGTATCTTCTGTGTTGAACATTTATTCTCCCTTCCCAAGTGTAGACCAAAACCCAGTGCTGGCAAGCAGACAACTTTGAGCATTTTAAGAAAGCACCTCTATTTTTAATTCTGAATAATTCGATGGATTGCTATGTCCGCTGGGAGGGCTGTCGCTCCGCTCTCAACTAGCCGCCGCCCTTGAATCCCTTATGAAGTCAACCATGGAGCAGTGAACACGTGAAGCCTGCCCAACCGTAGCTCGATCACCTGCTGTCTAACTATTCGGAGAAGCTGCACCACCCTGTCGAGCTTCACCCGTTAGGCGGTCATATCACTGAGCGGACGCTTCACCCTTTCGACGTCCATCTCGCTGAGCGGACGCTTCACCCTTTCGACGTCCATCTCGCTGTGAGGACGCTTCACCCTCTGGTCGGTCATCTCGTTGAAAGGACGCTTCACTCTCTGGTCGGTCATGTCGCTGAGCGGACGCTTCACCCTTTCGACGTCCATCTCGCTGAGCGGACGCTTCACCCTCTGGTCGGTCATCTCGTTGAAAGGACGCTTCACTCTCTGGTCGGTCATGTCACTGAGCGGACGCTTCACCCTTTCGACGTCCATCTCGCTGAGCGGACGCTTCACCCTCTGGTCGGTCATCTCGTTGAAAGGACGCTTCACTCTCTGGTCGGTCATGTCACTGAGCGGACGCTTCACCCTTTCGACGTCCATCTCGCTGAGCGGACGCTTCACCCTCTGGTCGGTCATCTCGTTGAAAGGACGCTTCACTCTCTGGTCGGTCATGTCACTGAGCGGACGCTTCACCCTTTCGACGTCCATCTCGCTGAGCGGACGCTTCACCCTCTGGTCGGTCATCTCGTTGAAAGGACGCTTCACTCTCTGGTCGGTCATGTCACTGAGCGGACGCTTCACCCTTTCGACGTCCATCTCNGCGGCCGCTTCACCCTTTCGACGTCCATCTCGGTAAGCGGACGCTTCACCCTTTCAACGTCCATCTCGCTGTGAGGACGCTTCACCCTTTCGATGTCCATCTCGCTGTGAGGACGCTTCACTCTCTGGTCGGTCAGGTTGCTGAGCGGACGCTTCACCCTTTCGACGTCCATCTCGCTGTGAGGACGCTTCACCCTCTGGTCGGTCATCTCGTTCAAAGGACGCTTCACTCTCTGGTCGGTCATGTCACTGAGCGGACGCTTCACCCTTTCCATCTCGCTGTGAGGACGTTTCACTCTCTGGTCGGTCATGTAGCTGAGCGGACGCTTCACCCTTTCGACGTCCATGTCGGTAAGAGGACGCTTCACCCTCTCGACGTCCATCTCGCTGAGCGGACGCTTCACTCTCTGGTCGGTCATCTCGTTCAAAGGACGCTTCACTCGCTGGTCGGTCAGGTTGCTGAGCGGACGCTTCACTCTTTGGTCGGTCATGTTGTAGCGCGGAGTCTTCATCGCAGGTACGCGTCGTTCGCTGCTTGCCATCGGCTGCTCCACTGACTCCTCCCTGGCCAGATTATGGAACCTGTGCAGCTGCGGTTGCGAGCTGGGGTCGAAGCGCCGGTGGCTCAGCAGTCGCACCTGGCTGGGTAGGTTCTGCGACTGCGGCAGCCTCGTCCAGCAGTAGTTCAAGCCGCGAGCCACCTTCATTTCAACTATTACAGAATTTCGTTACGGAAAATTTGGATTACTAAATGACGGAACACAAGTCAGGAAATTGGCTTGGTTTCTGAATTTAAATTTGAATTTTCAAATTTCAAATTTAATTTTTAAATTTCAAGACCGAAATTTTACTGAACTGTATGTTTTCGAGGTTCTCGATCGAATGATTTGTTCTCTAGCGTTTGACCTAAAAAACAGGCTTGCTATCTATCATTTGAGTTTGGTTACGAAAGTATTTTTGCCAAATTAGAGCAGGCTATGCGGGTCTTGAATGTACTACTAGAACTTCTACTGAATAAGTACTTATATTTGGGCACTTGTTTTCCATCATCGTTTTGTATGCACTTTTCCTCTGTTCGAATTCCACAGGTTCAGGTGCCAGAGAAAGCTCCAAAAGAACCATCCAATTCCGGTCACCTCAGCTCAGTTTTCGAGTCGATTAGCTCTTGCACTCCCCTCGCTCTGTCTCTGCTCTTGCTGGCGTGGCCTTTGACTCGACTGCACTTCCGCCGGCAAGCATATTTTGATCTTGCAGACGGAAGCTGCCTTGAGTGGGGGAACTTTTTTAGGTACATATCTCTTATCTGCTTTACCTGCTGACCCAATCGCCACACTCCGCGTGAGAAATCGACTATACTCGCGATGCCTTGATTTGAGTTCACCGAATTTCTCATTCGTTTCTTTTTCGGTCTCTATCGCCTCGGACATACGCTTTATTTGCCATTAATTAGTCGGCCTATTGTTGGTTTCAGTCAGAAATTGTGAGTTGTGTGCCACCGATCAGCGATGGATTGGAAAACGGCTTTGGCTTCGATTTTATCACTTGATAGAAAGTTTTGAGAAGTACTGTAGGAGGATTACAGGCGAAAGTACAACTATCCTCGTTCCTGGCAAGCATTTCAAGAAGTTAGCTATGAATTTGAATATCGCTTTGTCAGTCCGCTGGGAAGGCTCTCGCTCTCGCTGTCACCTAGCCGCCCCGCTTGAAGCCTTTGTAAAGTCTGGCATGGTGGCACCACTTTTCATACAGGGAGGAACCCGTGCCGCATGCGCAACCGTTGCTGGGTGATGAGATGTTCAGCTGTTCGGAGAAGCTGCACACGGGAGCCGGTTCGCGCTTAACCCTTTGGGCGGTCATGTCCAAGCGCGGCGGCTTAACAGTGCGCTCCAACTTGGCGTCCTCTGATCGCTTGCGCAGAACGACCTGTGGGGTTTTGTCCTCCAGTACGGGCTCATCCTCCAGCTCCTCTTCTGCTTGCTGCTGCATGAACAGGCGGCACCTCTTCTCGATGCCGATGGGCTTGCGCCTCTTCACCAGGCGATTGGCCACCACCTGGTAGTGCGGGGACCTGATCGAAGGCAGTCGCATGTGGTGAAAGCTGCGGCGACTTTCGTAGTAGCCGGAGGGAGATGTCCTTGGGCCGCTAGGAATGTGGTCCTCTTCGGAATCGAGGTTCTCGTCGCACCGCTGGCCGGGGCAGGTGTTCCAGGAATGCCAGTACTTTGCCTCCTCGGCATCTTCGCGCTTGCGCAGCCACTCGCTGGAGCCGTACGGTTCGTACGCCTCCTCTTGCCGGCTCATGGTCATATCCTCATCGCGGACTTCGGCGCGGGTATCCGAACCGGGCAGATTGTAGCCCCGGCGCGACTTCCGCAGCTCGCGGTCCTGCCGCTTGAGCTCCCCTTTGCGCTGCGACATGCGCTTCCTGCTGTAATCTTTGGCCGCTCTGTTGGGGTTCTTTCCCTTGCGTCGTGGCTGTGAGGGTTGTCGGGGCTGCTGATTCTGTCTGTCGGCATCGTAGATGAGGTCGGGCTTGGAGACGGCCGGAGCCTGGGCATTGCGCCTCGTACCCCCACCACGGGTCCACCGCCGCTTGTTTTCCTCGATGATCATCATCTGACGCCGTTGGTGCTCCTCTGGGTCCTGCATAATGGTGCGCCGACGCGGCTCCCACACGGGTCCGCGTCGCTCGCTGCTGGCCATCGGCTGCTCCATGTACTCCCCCATACCCGGATCATCAAACCGGTGCTGCTGTGAGCGCAGCTCGCTGGGCGACTCGGGGTTGTAGTTCCGCCAGTCGAAGCGCCTGTGGCTCAGCAGCCGCACCTGGTCGGGCAGGTTGAGCGGCTGCGGCAGCCTCCTCCAGCAGTAGTTCAGGCCACGAGCCACCTTCAGCGTGCAATTCATTTTACTTTCAACAGAATTTTGTTACGGAAAATTTTGAGTACAAAAAGCCTAAATAATTGTTGGTTCCGAAAAAATGTTTCGTTTTATTTTCTCGGAGTGTTAAATTTTTTGTGTTTTATTTTGGGAAAACGTTGAAAATGGAAGACCGAAATTGTGTTATACTTTATGCTTTGGTGGCTCTCAATATCATGACTTGTTCTCGAGCCGTTTGGCCAACATTTCGATTTGAAGGAAAATACAGGGCTCCCCAGTGAGTGGAGCTGTGCAGGCATTTTGGCATAATCTGAACAGGCTGTTGGTATATTGTTTGTACTCGTATAAGTATATACATATGTATGTATGTATGTATATATGTAACTCTTATCTTGCATACATCATCGTTTTGTATGCACTTTCAATTGTAAAGAGAAAGCTCCGCGAGAACCATCGAATTACAGTTAGCTCTTGCACTCCAATTGCGCTCTCTTTCTCTCTCTCTCTGCTCATAATTGCGTGGCCTTTGGCTCGACTGCACGTCCGCCGGCAAGCGTATTTTGATCTTGCAAAGAGACGGAAGCTTTAAGCTTTAAGTGGAGGGGGGAGGGGAATTTATTTTTGTAGAAATCTGCTCTTATTTGATTTATTTGCCTAATGAACCACGACTCGCACTAACACTTCTTCTCTTCTGGGTTGTAGCTGGCCCAACCGAAGCCAACGTTCAGCAGCGAATTGGCGCCACCGACGAATCTCGAGCCCTACACCATGGCTGTCATAACGGATCATGACAGCGGTAGCAGCAGCACAACCACCGGCACCTCCACCAACTCCACACCCACCATCACCACCCACAACAACAACAACAGCAGCAGCAGCAGCAGCAGCAGCAGCCTCAGCAATGGGAAACCACACAGCAGTCGTGGGCAGCCGAGCAGCCAGCGCCAACAGCTGACCACGGCCCTGACCATTCCAGAGTTTTTCGCGCATAAAAACATCTTCGTGACGGGCGGCACGGGCTTCCTGGGCACGGTGCTGATTGAGGCACTGCTGGACACACATCCCGACATCGGCACCATCTACGTCCTCGTCCGGGGTAAGAAGAAGTTCGATCCCAAGGAGCGGATCAATCGCCTGCTACAGAAGCCGGTAAGTGCGGTTACATTTTGCCAGTCTGGCCGGGGCACAAGGGTCACGACCAGAACCCACCCTTGGCACTCTCGCTGACATCAGAGGGTATCATTACAGCCAATTACGTGCCTCTTTATGGAGCGTTAATTTGTCAGAGTCGTAACCTGTCCGGAGACATGGAGACCCGCCGCGACCTCTTCCGCTTTGGCTGCTTAGCGGTTTCTGCCTCACGCCTCTTTCCACACATGTTTTCTATCTTTCTTTAGGGTTTTCTTTCGCGTTTCTGTATGCCAACTTTGAGATGCCCTCTCTAGGGCACAGCCTAAACTTGAACATAATCGGACAACATTTTACGACTACTGACTGGGGATATCTGATCCATCAGTTTGGGCACTTTTGTTCCCACAAACCAATTACAATTTAGAACTACTTTAAGTGGTCTTTGCACCTGTGAGAGTATCCAATATTTCGGTCTTCCGTTCAAGCTTTCAGTAGCTCTTCCCTTTTTCTTGACGTTCGGAGAGAGACTTCCCAGCATTTTGTTAATTATATTTTTAAACGCACTTGGTAGTGGCGCAACAACCACAGATTTGTGTTTGCTTGGCTATGGAAATTACTTACTTATAACCATAATCATAATTTTGAGGGTTTTTACCTCAGAGCTGAACACTTATCAAGGCAATGAATGGCTTTCTATCCGCACCGCAGATATTCGAGAAGTACGCGGAGAAGACCCTGGCCAAGGTGGTGCCTGTCGTGGGAGAGCTGAGCGAGCCGAACTTCGGCTTCGGCCCGGAGCTGCTCCAGGAGCTGATCGATCGCGTGCACGTGATCTACCACAGTGCGGCAACGATCAAGTTCAGCTCTCCGCTGCGCACCGCCATCCGCACCAATCTGACGGGGACGATGCGGACCATCGAGCTGGCCAAGCAGCTGAAGCATCTGTCCGCGTACATCTACTGCTCGACGGCCTTCTGCAACAGCAACAATCGGGGCCTGATCGCCGAGGAGGTGTACAAGTCACAGTTCGATCCGTATGACATGATGAAAATGGCCGAGGACGACGAGGCCTGGGTGGACTTCAACGAGCAAAAGTGCAAGGGCTACATCCAGGATCATCCCAACACGTACACATTCACCAAGAACCTGTCCGAGAATCTGCTGATGGCGGAGATGTCAGGACTGCCGGCGGCCATAGTCAGGCCATCGATTGGTAAGCTCTCAACCTATGCACCCAAACAGGACACAGATCTAACTGATTGCCTCTCCAGTGTATGGCACCTTGGAGCATCCGATGAAGGGCTGGGTGGGCAATGCCAACTCGGGACATTTGGGCTTCCTCGCGGGCTTCGTGAAGGGCATCTTCCGGACCATGTGCGGCCAGGCCTCGGCCGTGATTGACATCATTCCGTGCGACTATGTGATCAACTCATCCCTGGTCATGGGCTGGTACGTGGGCACCCGACAGCTGCAGCAGCCAGAGATCATCCACTGCACCTCGGGCGAGGTGAATCCGCTGACGTTGGCCGAGTTCTGCACCATCATCAACGACAGCGTGGAGCGGCATCCGCCCAACAGTTTCGTGTGGAAGCCACTGACCAAGCTGCGCAACGGCTGGCGCTACAATCTCTTCTTCTATCTGTTCCATCTGCTGCCCGCCCTGGTCTTTATCATTCCGGAGAAGCTCTTTGGCATCGGCATGCCGCAGCACACGTAAGCAGCTGGCCTGGAAACACCTGCAGAGTGCTCAGATTTCCTTTCTTTTAGTGCCTACGAGTACATGCGCGTCTTCCAGAAGGGCACCAAGGCCTTTGACTACTTCCTGGACAAGGATTTCCGGTACTCCCTGAAGAATGCCCTGCGCATCTCGGCCATCATCCCGGAGAGCGATCGGCGGCGCTACAACTTCGATGCCAGCCAGTGCGATTGGTCGGAGTTCATCGATCGCTGCCTCATCGGCATTCGGCGGTTCTACTTCAAGGAGTCGGCGGTTACCACAGAATGGCACCGCAACTACTGGAAGGTGTAAGTAGCCATCCTGGTTCTGTGTGTTCTCCTCACTCTGATCCAAGTCTCTCTCTCCCTCTCTCTCTCTCTCCTTCTATTCCCTTGTATCAGCTTCAATTTCCTCTACTATGCGGGCTATGCTGTCATCTTTGCCGTCCTGTACATTGCCCTCGTCCCCTTCCTGGGCATGCAGATCGGCCTCACGCTGGCCGTGCTCATCTGGGGCTTCCTCGTCTGGCTGTAGTGGACCACCGCACACTCCTGATCCCGATCCAGATCCAGATCCAGATCCAGACCCCCGCGGACAGTGCAATAGTCCTTCTTCTCCATTTTCACTCTTTCTCCTGCTCGTTTCCATCGTAGCTTGTCTTTGTAGGGTATCCATGTATTTTACTTTTAAGTCGTCCCTTCGCTGAACACAATCTAGTACAAGTCAATCTTTGTCGGACCGATCCCCGGATCGAACATCAGATGGCAAAAAAAACTGTTTCACACGAAGAACAAAACAAAACGAAAGAATCTATTCACACAGCAATGCAAAATGTAGCCCAAAACTTAGTCACATTAATAATGTAAACCTAAACAACTATGTAAAAGTAAAACAAAAACCAACAACTAAAGTGAAAATATAGTGAAAACGATTGCAGATTGTTTGTTGTAATTATCATCCGGTATATAGTCAAATAGTCGCAGAGTGCGAGAACTCAACTTTAAACAAATAAATGTGTAAACGATTATGCAAATAAATACGACAATTTTATCATTAGGAAACAAATCGCTTGTGTACTTCTTGTGTACATCTAAATGTCTATGATATATTCTGCATTGTGGCCAACATTTCAGTTATGGTCCGTTTGTTTGCTGGTTGACTAACATCTTTTATGTGCTATTCAATCTATTGCTCGGCTATTTATCCCAAAACTCTGGTGTATTGATCAAATTTTAGTTGACAAAGACTCTAGTCAAAGATTGTCAGAGTTTTCTCTACAAATTTCTATCTAGCGCTGGCGCCATCTGTTGCTAGTTACATATACAATACATGGAACATGCCACTACCGGCCGTGTGATGGCGCCATTAATTGGAAACAATCCCATGGGAAATTCACACTGAATTGTCCCAGAAGCTCTGCGTCTGCGCGGCTACCAACTGAACCAAAAAGAGAGAAATATATTTCCTTGATTTTCCGATAAACATTATTTGTAATTTGTTATTACTTGGAAGAGGCTATTTTTAACTGGTTTTAAACCCAATAAAGCTCATATGTCGCACCTATGGCATAACTATCCTAGAGGTAAGGTACAGCCACAAAAGCGAGAGAGCTTGATGCGGAGAAATAAAGAGAGAGAGAGAGGGGCTGAGAAACCAACTTAGGCCACCGAAGAGCGCTAGCAATCACGTTACGATCATCATTATATCGTCATATGGTGGTGGATCGTTTGCTGGATCATTCGTAATTTTGCTGTTGCCGGGAGCGGAGAGCGAGCGCTCCATTCAGTTTTCGACCGTGCCGATATCGTAATACAGATACAGGCAGACCAACCAGATACGGATACGAATACGCGTGCAGCTGCATTTGTGTTTGTAATTTGTTTACAGTCGCATCAACATCTGCGGAGCAGGAGGGAGAACACACACGAAAGAAGCAAAGCAACAAGCAGAAAGAGTGGAAGCGAAAGAAAGGCCGTAGAAAAAGAGAAATTGCCGATTCTAAAGTGATTTGAGGAACTGCAGCAGAGGCAACAGTCAACCGATAGATAGATATCTACACCCATTTCGTACACCTGCTGAAATTATGGCCAGGTAAGTCTCTATCCATGTGTGGCTTAAACAATGCAAGACCCGACCGAGGACCGACTTGCCAGCGATCTGTCTGTGCGTGTGTGTGTGTGTGTGTGTGTGTGTTTGGTGTTTTTTTTGGGTAGCCCGTTTGACAACTTTCGGCCAAATTTTTCTCTTTTCTCCGCTCGATCGTGTGCCGAAAGCTGCCATTGAGGTTAGATATTCGGTACAAAGTTCAGGCTGAGGCAGAACTGCAAAGAGACGTGCATGTAAATCTATTTGTGCTCGATCTTTGACTTCAACTTCATGGAATATTGATTCCATAAAGAGTCGAGCAAATACTGGAAACGTTCAACTAACACACACAACTCGTAATTCCAATGAAATGGAACCATCTCGCGACACTTTCTTCTCTGCTAGAATCCCCATCGCCTGAGAGCGACTGTGTTCTCGAGAGTGGAGTGGAGGGAGAACGACTGCATTCCAGTTTCTACTCACACTTTGACCTGTTGACGGAACAAGTGGGAAAGTAAAGTGTAGCCACAGATCTCAGTAAATGTCTCGCGCAACATGCCGTAGGTGACGTCAATTGGTTCCGTTTTGCAGCTCGCCAGAAAATCGAGCGGAAAATTACAGGCTGTCGCAACTGAGAGTAGCCGAAAAACAAGATCCATTACATATTGTTACATGCACATTTTGGGGAATCGTGGTCTTTTCGAACGCTCATTAATAATCGCACGAGTAAGCCAGAGATTTATGGGCCACCGCAAGGTTGGACATAGTTGGTAGGGTCAGTTACCCAGGCAGACATCCAGACAGACAGACAGACAGATGATGATGGAGTCGAGGGCACCTTAATTGCTGTGGTGGGAATGGCCTTTACTCGTATGAGGGGGATCTTGGGTTATTAAATGCAATTAAACATGGCAGAGAACACTCTTTACGTCGAGTTTCGAGAATATTTGAGTGACGTTTCCCTACACTGTTGCCGAACCAAAGCATAATTTGAAACAAATGTCAAGTGGCAGCTCCCCCAAGACAGTAAATCCCAGCAATTAATTGACCAAGATAAGACACGCAACTGGCCGGCAGGGAAATCTAATCAGAGTTACGGGCAGATAAGAAACCGAATGCCCAAAATGAGCCATGGCAAGGTAACAAATTTAGTTTGGGTCTCGGATCGGGTCACCCGATGCTCCGTTTCCCTTTGCTTCTTCTGGGTTGTAGCTGCTCCAAAGTGAAAGCTCCATTTAGCTTTGACAGCAATTTTTGACGAGGGGCCAGGGGGCAACATGGAGTCCATTAACCGTGACTTGACATCTTTTTTATGGATCTGCAAAAGCCTCAAGCTCAGCGCGACTGAGCTGCATGCGGAAATTTGCATGATTTTCTGCATATAAACACGATAAATATTTGTAGGAAATGTTGCATTTCTTTGAAAGTTTCTGGTGCGATTCGTTATGTGGGAATTATATCATGCATTTGTTGAGGGGAGAAACGCAGAGATCCCCTTCAATGAGCATCATTATAAAATCATTTGGCATAACAAAAAAATATGTGGAGATGGCGCAGAGTGAAGATCATTAAAAGAGAAATGCGCGTTGGGAGTTGTTGGCTAATTGAATGGTCAGGTTGCGTGTGTTTGTCGTTGTTTGATGGGAGATGGCAAATCATATTTCAGTAGAGTTCAGGAATCAGCCTTACCTTCACAGATAACAATTAGTTGGGAATCTTCTCTAATCGCGTTGATTATCCAACTGCTAAGCGCATTCCTTAGTTGATTGGTCCAAATCACACGTTTCCAGGCGAGTGCGCAGTAGGCCAGAGTCAACTGGGACGCCCACAAATTGGATTTGAATAGTACAAAGTATCGGCGGCAGTGACCCGAAAGCCGACACTAGACACCTGCTAACAAATCATTAGGCAGATCAATATTGAAAGAGCCACAATGGGCAGGCACTTAGAACCTGCAACTCACGCGGGAAACTGGTTTTGCCACGGAATCCAGTCGGAGATGTCCACAGAGTCACTGGAGGTTTCGTAACTTTGCCACGACGCGACGCGAAGCCAGCACCCATTGGCATTTGAATGGGAGATGAGAGAAAGTTTGATGAGAGTTTATTTTATGGCATCTGAAAATAAACGTAGCGGCCAGTTGTTGCATAAACAGAAATCGGTAGAGGAGACTAACGTGATCCTACGCTTTCAGCTCGTCCATCACAGACTTCTATGCGGGGCGCAATGTGTTCATCACGGGCGCCACTGGCTTCGTGGGCGTCACCATTGTGGAGAAGCTGCTGCGCGATGTGCCCAAGGTGGGCAATCTGTATCTGCTGATGCGCGCCAAGAAGGGCAAGAGCGTGCAGGAGCGGCTGGAGGAGCTCAAGAAGAACTCGGTCTTTGATCGCTTCAAGGAGATGCAGCTGGAGTCACGTCTCGCAAAGATCGTTCCCATCGAGGGCGATGTGGGCTTGGACAACCTGGGAATCTCGCCAAAGGACCGCCAGACGCTGATCGATAATGTCAATGTGGTGTTCCATTCGGCTGCCACCCTGGACTTCTTCCAGTCCCTCAAGGAGACGACCAACATCAACCTGAAGGGAACGCGTCGCGTCGTGGAGCTGTGCCGACAGCTGAAGCAACTCGATTCGCTGGTCCATGTGTCCAGCGCCTATGTGAACGCATATCTGACAGAGGTCGAGGAGAAGCTCTATCCCTCCCCCGACGATCCCGAGAAGATCATACAGCTGGCCGAGACGCTCAACGACGAGGCGCTCAAGGCACTCGAAAAGAAGTAAGTTTTCCCATCTGAAATTGGATAATTTGACAATTGTACAATCCTCTGTTGCAGACTGCTCAAGGATCATCCGAATACGTACACATTCACCAAGCATCTGGCCGAGCACGAGGTAGCCAATGCGGCCAGCAGCTTCCCCTGCGGCATTGTGCGTCCCAGCATGAGTGAGTAGCAGACGGATGGAAGGGCTCTCCCCCTGCTGTTCAGTTATAGCAACGTCTCCTTTCAGTCACGGCCGCCTGGAAGGAACCCATTCCCGGGTGGACCATCTCGAAGAACGGCCCCCAGGGCTTCTTTATGGGCGCCTCCAAGGGAGTGCTGCGTCGCCTGCCCCTGGATCCGAGCATCATCATGGACTACATTCCCATCGATGTGGTTGTCAATGGCATCATCACCACCGGCTACTATGTCAATGCCCTCAAGGCGAAGAACGCCGGACGTCCCGCCGAGCTGCAGATCTTCCACCTGACCTCCAGCACGTACAAGCCCTTCCGCTTCGACCTGATGGCGGACAAGATCAACAGCTATCTGCACGACTATCCCCTGAACAGCGCCGTCTGGTATCCCAATCTGCGGCTGGTCAAGAGCCTCTGGGTCTTCCGGCTGAGCGCCATTCTGTTCCACTTTGTGCCCGCGTTCTTCCTGGACATTGTCACCCGCATCGCCGGCGGTCGCCCCATGTGAGTATGCCAGAGATCTCTAGCTCAGAGCAGGTACTGACTTTCCCCTGGCCTTCAGCTTGATGAGGCTGCACAAGAACGTGTGGAACTCGCTGAACACCCTGGAACGCTTCATCTTCACGGAATGGCACTTTGACAGCAAGCGTCTACTGGCCCTGTCCAAGTCCATGGACGCGGTGGACAGGAAGAAGTTCATCATTGACATTGGCGAGCTGACGTGGGACGAGTACTTTGCCAACACCATTCGCGGTGTGCGTCAGTACCTCAGCAAAGAGTCGCCCAAGAACCTGGAGAAGGCACGCCGCAAGGATAAAATGTTAGTTATCATATAGCATATTCCAGCTCCTATTCTATTGGGATACTAACACATCTATTCCACAGTCTATTGGGCCTGCACGTTGCCCTCCAGCTGCTCTTCTGGTTCGGAATCTTCAAGCTGATCGTCTGCATCTCGGGAGTGTCCAATGCCAAGGCGGCCCTTATCCTTCCCGTCTTCTATTACTTGTTTGGACTCCTCTAGGACGGCCGTATTTGTAGTTGAGCATACTCTCTCTCTCTCAATGTTATTAACGCTAAATGCAATTTGTACAAGGTTGGGTTTTACAATAAATAAAAAACACAAAACGTAAATAATGGCGCGTAAGTGGGCTTCGACGCAAATGTGAGCAACGCAAACGTGAGTCACGCGGGCAGGCGTTAGTGCTTTTTCGGCTAGTTGCAGTGTTGCAGAACGCTGGAACTGCGACCACTTTTCAACACCCGTTCGCGTGATCGCGATCGCCTGCTCCGTGAAAAATTACAATAAATTAATAAATTTAGTGCAACATTTAATATAATAAGCAAAAACGAGTGCGTTGGCGTTCGCGTGGCACTGTGCGTGGTATTGTGTGTGACAGGCCAAAATCGAAGCGAAGCCAGAGAAAGGCAAGCCAATAACAACAACAGTGAATGGGGAGGGGGCCAAAGCCAAAAGCCACAAAAATATTGAGCATCAAGGTTTAATGCTGCAACACGGATTCGAAATCTACAAAGGCAGCAACACCTGGAGCTTCACTGTACGTGCCACATATAGTATTCATTTGGTGAGTGGGAGGAAGGGCATTGAAATATTTAAACAAAGAGAGCAAAAGAGAGAGAGAAAGGATCTCTCGCGCACACACACAGCCACGTAAAAGTGTCTGGCGAATTGCAATTGTGGGAGGGGGTACGGGGCAGAGGGGCCCGAGCAGCTGCTTTTCCCCAAAAACAAAATTTGTGAAAACAACATACGTACACACTCACACGCATCCAACAAAAACACCTTTACACATATGCAACAAGTTGTGCATGCAACTGCTGCTGTGGTAGGGGGGTTTGGTTGATTTCCCCATCGTTTACCGTTCATTTTCGGACATTTTCGCTTTTTATCTACTATTGCGTAGTGCCGCTGTCGCGCGCTGCCAATGTCACCTGTCTTTATGCGCTGCTCTCGCATATTCGCTCTCTCTCTCTCTCTCTCGCTCCCACACTGGTTTTTATCTCTCTGGTGCCGTTAACACTGACACAGACGGTCGACTCGACGATCTACGTGTCCCTTTCGCACGCCCATTTTCCCGTTGCTGCTCAGTGCACGTAACTGTATTTGGCATGCGCGCGCGTGTGTGTGTGGGGGAGAGTGAGAGTGTGTATGCATGCATATTTCCGCCTGTTGATAACAGAATAACTGCTTCGATATGGGTGGAGCAGGGGGATCCACCATGGCCTTAATTCTTATGGAAATATGCATAGTCCGAATATCGCTTATATTTTCATTCTCCTTTCTCCCCCGCCCCATGGTCCCAATTTCTAATCGCAAAGTGACAATATTGATTTTCCATACGTGTGTATGTGTGGGTGCGGGTTTATACCCTTTCCAGATAAAGCATTTCAGGGCACATGCATAGGAGTTGATTTGCTAATGTGATATTTTAGCTCCGTTTACTATGACTTGACATAAATATTATATCGTAGAAGAGTTCCCTCAATCTCTGCAGAAGGTGCCCGCCCCACGGGCCCAGGGTATCTTATCTTCGTTGCTCCAAACTTTAACTCTCACGAGATTGTAGCACCTTATCAATAACAATAGCCTGTCATTGTTTCACTCTTGTTCTTTTTTTTCTGGCAACTGTTAGTATTAGGGAAACAAGTTCACAAAACTTTTGCACTTTGCTGCCCCGAGCAGATTCTGTAGCTGTATCTGTAGCTGTATCTGTATCTGTGTCGCTGTACGAGTTGTATCTGTTCCCGTAATTGCTGCCATTTCATATTACGTCTTTGTGTTGTTGCTGTTTCAGCGGGAATTTCCCGGCATGAACAGAGGTGATAGTACAAATATACTAGAGGTTCATAAGTTATAAATATGTATACGAATATGTACAATGAAATGCTGAAACTGCTGTTAATCTGGTGCAGCTTACAAGTGCTCCCCATCGTTGGTGCGGCTCTCTAGAAAACTTTCCATTTCTAACCGTACTCCGTAGTCAATGAAAAGTTCCCACCACATTGCCAGTTCGAGTAGAATCAATCTTATCAGTTTTCTGCATAAAATTGGCTTTACTTTTTATGACCGTATGTCCTCACCCGCCCGGAGATAAGCCGGGTGGCACCTCTCTAATGAAACCCCTCCATGGAACACACCTTTTGGCTTGGACAGGCGCCTAAAAATAACTCCCATATTGATTATTTGCACATTTCCGAACAGAGCAGGGCAGAAAAGATCTTTGAAGAAGCACATTCTCACACAGAAAGACAAAGAGAGAGGGAGAGAGTATGCGATCGATTATAAATAAATAAATAAATAACCCGCATATAGTATTATTGCCTTTTATTTTCGCACTATGTGGATCGGGCAGGACAGGAGAAGAGTTCCATTCAAGCTCCCCCTCTCCCCATACCCTCGGCTGTGCCTCTCCTGCCTTTTCCATTTCCAATTCTAAAAGTCGCGCCAATGACGTCAGTCCCAAGGCCTGACGTCTGCACAAAATTCCGCAAAACGCCTCTTCAAATTATTGGCAAGCAGACGGGACGGAGAGAGTACGGCGGAGAAGAGAGAGATAGAGAAGACGCCGAGAAGAGTGGGAGGAAAAGAAAAGCAGAGCACAAAAATATTGTACAAAATTAAAATATTTTTGTTCCATTTCTCAGTGTGTTTGTTTTTCTTTTTGTATTTTTGAGCTTCTTTTCGCCTCCATTCCTCCATTTTATGTTGTCTCCTGCATTTGATTTATAATTTTCACAATTTCCAATGTTCTCTCTTCTCGCCCTCTCTCTCTCTCTCTCTCTCTCTCTCTCTCAGTTTGCGTTAAATTCCAAATATTTGTTGTCTTTTCCACAAGAAATAAGTGAAAGTTGTTTTCCATGTTATTTATTTTTTACGGCAGCTTCTGTTTCTGCGTTCTGCTTCTGTTATTATGGTGTTTTTGTTGTACTCTTCGGTTAGTTCTTCTTCTCTACGCATTGTCTTTCCCTTTGTCGTCCGTCCATATGTTTTGTGTTCCCCAAAAGTGGGTGGAGTAGGGGAAGAGGAGGATCTCTTGGTACGTAGTTCCTTTAGCAATCTATTTTTTCGGTAATTTCTTTTTTCCCCATCCCCACAAAATTATTTATATCTACGTATTTTTATTTTTGACACGCCAGACAGCGAGATTTCCGGTCAATATGCATTGATACTCTCCTCAAGTCTCAATGGTACGGCCCGGGACCCTGGCCTTCAGAGGGGACTGACAGTTCGTTTAATTCCCATAGATTTCGGTTATCACATTGATTTGTTTGATGGACACTGGGATTTCTGACCTCCTCTGGGGCTGTAAATCGAACTGAAAGCAAGCGGTGTAAAAGCATGAAGCTAACTATGTAGATCCGCAATGGTATATCGTCCACAGTACTTCTTCTTCTGTTAGAGCTCTGAACGTTTCCGATTATATCCCAATATCTCTGCTCATTGGAAAATTCCCCATCTCATCCTATTTTCATGTGCCACCTCCTCTAACGCTGCCTCTCCTTTCTATTTTCCCATTTAATGAATGGAAATGTTTTTCCACTAATTACAAGAGCTTCCACCCCCACTTCCCTTCCACGTACAACCCCCACGCAATCCATGATCCACATTGTGGATCCTAAGCAACCCGTGGGCAGGGCGCTGCCATAAATTTAATGACTTTGTAAACTTTTTGTTGTTTTTGTTTGGATGTGTTTTCCCCATAGTTTTCCTTTTTTGTGTGTTTGTTTTTACGTTTTTTTGGCACACAGTGCGAAATTGTTGTTGCGTGCTCTGTTTTTATTCGTATTGTTGTTATTATTTCTTAGCAACTTGTATGTTTGCTTTTGCGTGTCCTCGAAATAAACACACAAAAGATCCAAAGTACCAAATGTGAAGAAGACAAATGATGTTTTACCTGAAGCATCAGTACAAATTTATAATATATTGAAATTTATGTGAACAGTGCGTTTCGAAACTCTTAGAATCTCTCTTTCCCCACTTCTTCATACGGCTCCCCGTGTGCTTAGTTTTGCATTGTTTAATCCTGAACTATGATCTGTATTCTCCGCTTAATGATAACTGACCCTATTCATTTCTAGTTGATAATTCAGATAAGACTTGACATAAGTCTGATGGCTGCGAAACGCACTGTACACAGTATAAGTAGGTCTACATAGCCCATGGGAATGCATATGATGTCTGTATCCATTATCATTCCACACGTGTACTCTCAGTTTCTGCTTTATACTAGACAGAGGAGAGCAAGAGCCAATATTGCAGTACATTTGACGTCGATTTCCGATTCTGCATTCTGGCATTACAGCTGGCATATGTACATAGTATGTGTGTGTATTTGGATCTCCTTCTATCTGCCTGCATCTGCATCTCTATCTCTATCTGTGTATCCGTGTGTCTATCTGTTTGTAGGTGTATCTGCATCTGTGTGTATCCGTGTATCTGGCTAATTGTGAAGGTCGTTTACGTCTGCAGTCGATCGCCTTTCTCTCTGGCGCTTGTTGTTGTTATTGTTGCGTCTGCCACCACCCGCTACAAAAGGCCGAAAGGCAGACGAAGAACACGAAGGAGAAGCACACCAAATTAATTTTCATTCCCTCCCGCTCTGTCCCTCCGATACGATTTGATCTCTTTTCCACCCCTCGACAAATTCCTAACCAAACAAAAAAAAGAAACCGAAAAGGAGAAGAGAATTTGTTTATATGTATTTATAGGCTAAATATTTTCAAATATCAGATCGCAATTTGCGTGTTCCGCTCATCCCCCATCCCATCCCAGCCCGCCATCCAGCCCATAAGTACATCCAAAAGATGTACATTCGGAAGGGGGGGGGCTTGGAATTGGATTTTATGGAATGGCCACATTTCAAGAGGAATTATAATTCTCTGAGGTTTTTCTCATCTTTAATGGCTTCTTAATTTCGCACGGATCTCGAAATGTTTGCCGTCCCACTTCGGCGAAGAAAATTGAGATTTGCTTAGTTTGAGTTTTAAAATAAGCATAAATCTGCTGAAAAAATATGGATAGATTTGTGGAATCTTTAGTTTTTGATACACTGCCCTTGATCGATTACTTTTATGGGAGATTTGAGACACGGCCACCCATAAATCAATTTCATTAGCGGACATTTCTCTGGAAATCTCAATCCTCTTCATCTCAGGCATTACCCAAACATCTACTTAAAGTCGTAATACCCTGCCTGCATACAATAGGGTATACAATATAAAAGCTGGAAAAAGAAAAACAGCAGGGGGAAAACAACAACTAAATCGAGATACGTTTATTATTTATTATTTATGCTTTGGTGGCCAATTTTAATGGCGCCATCGCTTGCAAATTAAGTGCTATATTTTATAATTTATTTGCATCTCTTTTACCCTCGGACATGGTTCCGTTTCTGTGTCTGTTTCTGTTTCTGCTTCTGTTTTGGGGTTTATTGTTTGTTTTTATTAATTTTGTCAGAGTTTTTTTCTAGTTATTTTTGTGGCCATCCCCTGGGAAAACAGGTAAGCCGCTGCCGCTGCGACTGCCACTGCGAGGGCGGTTCTTTCTAATACTTGGCTAAGCTAGGGGTTTATCTAAGAGTTTTTTATGGACCGGCAATTAAATGTTGATCCCATTTGATGGCTACATATCTCGTTTTTTTTTTGTTAACTCGTTCACCTCACAACGAAATTTCATTAATTTTGTTTCAGATTGTTTTCTCTATTCGAAGATAAAGACATACAGATACTCGTACATATACTTATGTACATATGTATGTATGTATATGCATATATCAAATATTTCATTCAATTTTCTTTGGTTTTCGGTGTGTTTGTGCTACACCCACACAAAAGTTTATTTTTATAAAATAAAGAGAGAAACCGAGGGAGAGCCCCACCCATACAATTGCAATAAAACAAAATTCAAATTTCTTTTTTGAATGCTGGTGTTTGTGTGGTGTAAAAATATTGAGTGATTTAATTGACTCGCTGCGGTTTCTCTACACTTTTGTCAGTGTGTCTCTGGTTCTGCGTATGCGTAATGCACGAAATTTGAATAATACATCAATTAATTCCAACCACAAAATATATCAAGCATAAATTACCTTTCTTTAGTAAAGACAAAAAGGTCGTAAACCATGAAGCGATACTCGGTTCGCTTAGTCATGTTATAGGGTATCGAAACATACATGCGATAGAATCAAATCAGTTTCAAAGAAACGATCAATATATGAGGGTATCCACAGGTTTGGTTGCCCGTTCTGTGTTTTCTCTCGTGATTTTTTGTTTACGCTCTCCCAAACATTTTCACACACAGAAACACAAATTAACAGACAGCAGACGATTGTACGAATATTTGTGTGATTATCTGTGTTTTCTGCTCATTTTCCTCGCAGTATTTTCCGTCGTTTGATTCTCGAAAATCTGCGATTTTCGGTTGTTCAGTTTATCGCTGGCATTTAAGGCGTTCGAAACGCGCACAAAAATCGAATACAGAAGATCGAAAGACAGATATTTTTTGTGGGGAAAACTGCGTGAGATTTTCTCAATTAAAGTCGGGAAAACCCATTAGAAATGGCAATACAATTTATCAAGTGTGTTTAAAAAAGGAAAACTGCAATTTGTGTGTGCGGAGAGTCGACAGAGAATCGCTGAGAATATTGTGAAAAATGTTAAAGTTTAAATTCAAACATTGAAATATTACCAAAGAAAAGCAGAGTGCAATAAAAACAAGACAAATTACACAAAATAAAACTGAAAGAATAATTTGGAATATTTCTAAACACAAAATCAAGACTATAATTCTCTCTACTTTCTATAGTAATAGACAAATAGAAACCTTTTCACGTTTGGAGCTCTCTTAATCAGTTTTCATCGACATAATGTAAGTGGGAATGGATACGGATACTTACAGATACAGATACAGATACAAAATGCTTTCATCTACATATACCTAAACCATTGTCGCTATGGGGTGTATATGTAGATATATCTGTAGATGTTTTTCAAGTACTATATAGGGAAACGGATTATTTATCACTGCCATCCTTGACAATGGCCGACAGTCCGAAGTCGAGGGACGGTGAGCGACAGAGATATAGACAATATGGCACATCGATCGTTGTGTCATAAATATTTATAAATACATCCAAGAGATCTCTCTGCCGTTTTTCTTTTGCTGTTTTTTAGAAACAATATAATTTGAAAGGCTCTTAGTTAATGTTCTAAATCGGGCCATGGATTCACCCGCATGCAACGCAGCCGGCACGCAGCCGAGTGGTTCCGGGGCAGATACTAATTGAATTAGTGGCATCACCTGACTGACATTCCCTCCTCCTCTTTGCTCTTTCCGCAGGTCTGCAGCTGTGACAAATGATGGCCTAAAATGGCGGCTACACCACCAATGCCGCCCGGATCAAACAGTTACCAATTGAATGGCAGCAGCAGCAACAGTAGCAGTAAGAATCCAGCAGAGGGAAACACCAACAATATAAGCGAGGCAATTCATCAGCACTTTCTGCGGAAGAAGGACGCTCCACCGACGAGTCAGAGGAATCGCTGCGGCAGCTATGAGCAGCTGGAGCTGCTGGAGCATCAACAGCCAGCAGCAGCAGAGGGAGAGGCGTCACCAGCAGAAGCAGCATCAGCAGAGGGGGGAGAGGCTGGACGCAAGCAGAGCACGCACTGCCACTGCACGAACATCAGTATCATGCACCTGTTCCACGAGATGAAGCAGGAGTTCCCCACGATACCCGATGCCATAGTGACGCAGTGCGTCACCGAGAATTGCCACCAGCGCGATAACTGTATACAGATGTTGAAGAAGGAGCTGGCCCTGCATCCGATACCTGCACAGAGCTACCCGGCCAAGGTGTTGCAGCAACAGCAACAGCGGCAGGCCAAGCCTCCCACCCCACTGAAGCCATCGAGAGTGGCACCAACCCAACCCCCAGAACCCAGCCAGAATGGGAATGGCAATGGCGATGCCAGCCCCAGCCCCACCCATAGTCCGAGTCCCCAGCCCAGGCCGCGACCCACCACGCTCAATCTGCAGCGACAACTGAACGCCCAGCTGCAGCAGAAGATTCAGCAGCGACAGCAGAGGCAGCAGCGCGACCAGCAGCCACCGCAGCTAACGCCGACGTCGCTGAGCAAGCCACTGCGCAGAGCGCCACCCCTGCCGCCGGCACCTGGGCCCCCGCTGGCACCCAAGCCGAGCTTCTCCAACGATTCCTCCTGCCTCACCAGCCCCATGAGCTCCAGCGAATCGGAATTCTCACTCAACGCCGTCTCCTTATCATCGCCGACGTCAGCAACAAGAGCGACAGCAGCAGCAGCAGCAGCACCATCAGCAGCAGCGACAGCGACGGCGACAACGCCTCAGCAAGCCTCTCCGGTGCGGCACCGTTCAGTCATCAATCTGCAGCCAGAACTGCCTTATACACGCGATTTCCTCAGCAACAACAGCGCCCTCTCGCCAGCGTTGACGCCACCGACGTTGCCCGGCTCACCTGGCTCGGCCTCCGCCGTCTCGCCGGGTCGCAAGAGCTTCACCTCGCTCAATCTCACGTTACGCCAGCCGACGGGCGGCGCCCAGTCCGCGATCGACATCACCGCCGGTCCGGCGCCCAGCGGCCAGGGCAGCGGCATCACCTACTCGAGCGTCAGCTTCGACGCACGCCGGGGGACGCACAAGAACTTCCAGCTGACTGTCACCGACGAGGGCAGTGTCTTCAGCGCGGGCTGCATCCGTCCCCAGGCGCCGTACGCCGCGTGTGAGCCGCAGCAGCAGACAGCAGTTCCTCCGCCACGCCAGCCCCCGCCGGTGGCGTCGCTTCTCTCCACCGATGGACATTCACCCTCGGACTGTGACATGCCGGAAGTATTCCCCTATCCCACGCAGCCCCAGAACCACGTTGTCGCCTCCAACTACAACACGAACCATGCTGCGGACAACAACAACGGCGTCAGCAGCAGCAGCCACGACAGCAGTCCCGTCAGCATGCCCCTCTATGCCGGAGTCCTCGAGGAGTGCGATCCGGAAGGTGGGTTCAACACGTCGAAGCCCATCTCTGGGCCATTGTAATTTCCACCATTTCATTTCCGTGTGTCTCTAGCATGGCGAGTGCCAGTCCTACACATGTAGCGACATGGGTTCCAATGTGCTTTGCGCCTTATCGAGCCATCCAGACGGCGTCGTAGTTCGGTTGGTGTTTCGCTTATCGGTGCAGGTTCGCCCCAATATTGTTTACAATTGATAACGAAATTGAATTACGCCCCAAAATAGAATTAGCTGGAGTTCTCTGCCCAAAAAGAGAGGGCGCACATTTATTCGTAGAAAATAGTAAACCTCTTACCCAAGGGTAACAGATCGTTAGCTCAACGGCAAGGCCAGGCTAGGGTGCAAGGTGGTGTTACCCTCTAATATGATTGATATGGGGTTTATAGTAGAGTTTATGCTCCGAATCGGTTGAACTATCAAATAAAGGCTGATAAAATGTAGGAAAATTAAGGTATTGACGTCACGGAATAGAATAGAATTGCACAACTAAAGACAGTAGACAGAAGACACTAGACGGCAGTTTGTTATCAGTCCAGAGAGACAGATATCGAATATAATATATGGCCTGGCGATTAAATTGAGATTTGAATCTGTTGGGAAATATCTGCTGATGGTCTTCTCTGTGTTCTTCTTTCAACTTTGTTGCATTTGATTTACCCTTTTGCAGAATATACGATATATTCACAAAACGATCCCCTATATTCCCCTCACACACACACACACACTCACACACACACATACACACACACACTCACACATATGACACTAATGTATACGTTTATAGGACGCCCACGCGCTCTGAAGAACTTTATAGATTGAAATGTCTTTTGTCTGGCTTCTGCTTTGGCTGTGTTTTCTCCCCACTCTCTCGGTCTTGCTCTTTCGGCGTCGTTCAAGTTCACGGCGAAACAGAGAAAAGTAGACGGGAAAATAGAGGACGGATGGGGGGACGGATGCATTAAGCATACGCAGCGTGGGCACCGCTGAGCTGACGGCTTTTCCACTTTGACATTTAATCACGCGACAATCGACGTCCGAATCGTCGGCCATTAGAAGCACTTTAAATGTCGTCGCCTTTCAGCGGGAATTCAGTTTGGAATTCGTCGACGGCAACACTTTTCGCCCATTAATGAATTAATTTTTCAATTAAAATGCTTCCCATTCCCCATTCCCCATTCACACGATGGATAGAGAGATGGGATGAGATGAGATCCCTTGGCCCACTGCCCTGTTGGCTATTTCGGTTGGAGATCTATCAGAGACGCGTCTAAAAATAGTCTAAAACAGTCGAAAAGTCGCACAAATCAAAATGCGAAATGCATCAAAAGATCATTCTATTTATAGTCCTAAATATGTACACCGAAAGAGTACAGGAGGGGTATGTGCGATCCGTGTGGTTGTACGCAACAGTCAGAAGAAGGACGGATTTCCGGACACCATAAATTGGGATTATTCTAGATCGTCCGATCTTTTGTCAAAACAAAGTTGCAGAGTGCAATTCCCCAGATATGTACCTAGCCTTATATTGAACAAACTAATAATCATTTATTTTTACCTATTTTCTCGCGTAGAAATAAATTATTATTAGATTGATTTTTTCGGTTGTGGCTGTGGCTGTTGCTCTCTGCTTGCGCATTTTCACTAAATTTATCTTTCGCTTTAAATATAAATTCTGTTTATGAACCAACCCGAACCGAACCGAACCGAACCTTCCCCCTGCCCAGCAGGGCAGGCAGTCCGAAGAGCCAAGCGAGTATTTTTAGACTCAAAACAGAGTAATAAAATGTGAGGTATTGGCCAGTAAAAATAACTTTCGGCCAACATTAGGAACATTGCAAAATCATTTCTCATGTGTTGCCAGGCAGCCGAACTTTCAATTCCAATTCCATAATCGATCGATTAACCACTTTTCCAAACCCTTTCTCTTCAGCTCGAGCGGCGACCATTGAGCGGCAGAAGAAGCGGCGGGACAAGCTGGCCAATGCTCTGAGGGACAACAAGAAGCGACTGCTCGTGCTGGAGCAGGAGATCAACATACTGACCGAGCCGGTGCCGGTGGGCGAATCTGAAAGACTGGATAGAGATATGAAGAAACTGACTGAGGACTGCCAGCGGCTGCTCAACTTGATCAACGGTGAGTGCCGGAGTGACCCCATTCACGTTTCTGTGTGCTAATCCTTTTCAATGCTTCTTTTATAGAACACCAAGCGAATGGCTCTGGTGCTGCGCCAAATTCCATGAATCGTCAGAACTCGGCCCCAGCCAACAATAACCAGCAACAACCGCAGCAGCCACAGCCATTCCCACGACAGCGTCAGGCTGGTCGCTCCCAGGCGCCGCCCAGCTCGTTGCGTCTGCACTCGGTGCCGGCCCAGCCAACGGCCCAACCATCGGCCCAGCCGGGTCCTGACTTTGTGCAGCACCACAGCAGTGCTCCGACTTCTGCCTGCCTGACGCCCCAGCAGCAACAGCAACTCCAGCTTCAGCAGGCGCCGCCGCCAACGTATGCCCAGTACTACCAGTTCCAGCAATATCTGCAGCAACAGCGACAGCAGCAGCTCCAGCAATTTCATCTGCAGCAACAGCAGGCGCAACAGCAGCAGCAGCAACAGCAACCGCAGATGTCTGTGCAGCGTCCGTCAGCAAACGACGAGGAAGAATACCCATCGGACTCGGACGGGGACGAGGATGAGGAGCCACTTGACATGTGGGCCTGCAACATGTGTACATTCCGCAATCATCCGCAATTGAATATTTGCGAGGCCTGTGAGAACGTTAGGATCCAGCCGGGTATGATACGCATTGTCCCTAGCGGAGGTGGCCCTGGAGCTGCTGACGGAGCTGTTGGCACGTCCGCTGCTGGCCTCGAGCAGCAGCAGCAACCGCAGCAGCCCCAGCAGCCATATGCATTGCATACATAGCCTCCGCCCATCCAGAAACGGAATGCAAAGTTCTCCTAACATGCATGCGCTCGCTTTTTATTGCTTACCCGCTGCATGTGTCCTGCTGACAATGGTGGACTTTGAAACTGTGATAGCATTTAAATTAGTATCGTGTGGATACACTGGCCCGGCTCGATAAACTGCGGCTCCACCTGAAAGACATACCCAAGCAAGCCCCTTCAATTTATGATTTATGTAAATTGCAAGTGCCTCAGCATCAGCATCGCTGTAACGATAGCATTAACAGTAACAGTAACAATATCAATAACAGTAACAGTAACGATAACAGTAACAGTAACAGCAACAGTTGCATAGCTCTAAGCAATGAAACAAAACAAAGTTTATTATTTTTAGCATCTTGATCAATAAAGAACGTTATTTAAATATTTAAACCCGCTTCGCCCGTTGTTGCTTTACACGTTTGCACGTCCCTCTCATGGGTTGAGTGCAGAATATGTATTTATTTTATGTGCCACTTCTCTACTTTTAGGACCTGTGCTGAGTCGCGAAGATATACATATAACTCTCTCGCCAGGCGAAAATCGTGAGTAGAACTTTGAGGGGAGACCCTCGAGATCTGAACAGTAAACTCGAACTTCTCTCTTCTTCAGGTATTATACACTCCTGGATACTATCATGACAATTGGCCAAACGCTCACCATAACCACCCAGACAACTCCAGCGATATTTATTGTAATCTACGTTAATCTACGTGTATATTCTATTATTTAATTTGCTCTTTTGGTAACTTATTCTTAAACAATTGTAAATAATACGTAAGGGAATATTTATCCAAATGCTGCTGGCAGCAATTACTGTATTTCTACGTTAGCTAAGCCACTATCATACCTTGATTCTGTAAGAAAAGACTTTTAGTAACGTGTCGCATCAACTGAAACTAGCAAATAATTTTCTGAGTGGAAGAATACATTGTACATTTTGTATGTTTACCCGGTGAAAACTAACTGAGTTAAGGTTTTCTATAAGAGAAAAGAACACACACAAACTTTGCAACAAGCAAAGAAACTTTTGTAAGCTTTTTAAAAGCAGCATATTTAACGAAATTAAAATGCAAGTTGATAGAATTCATTTCGTGTTTTGAACTATCGGACCAATCGACCGTGGGTTAAGCTCGTCTGTCCTCGGTATATGCTGGTATATTTTATGCCTCAAAAGGTATTTTTGGTATATTTCTGAGCTTCAGTCACACCATTACCCACCAAGGCGCTTTAAACGAATCGCACTAACTTTTGTATAAAATTAGGATTAAAAAGTGAAAATAAGGAGAAAAGCAAAATGGCACACTTCGTGCACAACCCATGTAAGTTGGAGAACTATGCAAGTGCCCAATGCAAACCCACACAATCGCACGTCTTTTCGTTGCTTTGAAAATCCCACAAACATTGCAAGGAACTTCGTCGTTTCCTCTTGCCATTACAGCGGAACAGAACTACTATTTCAAGAACAGCATTGCCTACACAGAAGACCACATTCCAGTGCAGAAGCTCTACGTGTTCAAGATCCCAATTGAAGTAGGTATCCTTCCCTTTCTTGAAGCTTTAAACATACTCTGAACCATTTCACCGTCTGTCTCCCCTCGCAGCTGAATAAAACTATGCTTTATTCGCACTTCTCGAATTATGGGCGCATTTTGCACATGCAACTCTCGGGGAACAATAGCGGTAGACGTGTCATTGGTAGATCAAACCGCTTCCAATACAAGACTGGCTGGGTTTTCTACGAGAAGACATTGGACGCTGCCAAGTGAGTGGCCTCTCGGCCTGACTATGACCCTGACCGACACTCTCCACTGATAACTAACCGATATTCCATTCCTAGACCCTTGCACAGCCGTATACACCATGTAAACGGGCTTCGATTCAATGTGCAAGCCAGTGACAGCTGGCACCAGCCAGATGCCTACGGAGCAGACGCCTGCTCCTACGCCCAGGAGGCGGAGGCGGAGCAACTGTATCCGCCAATTTTGAATCTCAACGATCACTGCTTGGAGATGGTGATGCGGTATCTCCCGATGCACGAACAGATGGTCTTCGCGCGTACATGCCTACGCTTCCGTGCTGTCTACCAGCAGGCCACGTCCAGACTTCACAAATCTATTAATTTGAACGACTTTGAGAAGCTCACTGTGTGGGACCTTCGAGAATTTTTCAAACTATCTGGAACGTATGTTCAGCACATAACCGGCGTGATTCCGCCGATGCGCTCTCAGCGCTTTTACGAATTTCTTTCGGCCAATTGCTTGAATTTGAAAACCCTAACACTGCACAACAGCCCGCTGACACCGCGAAACATGGTCAAGATCTTCGCCAAGATGACAAAGCTGGAGGTGTTGGAGCTGCCTCAAAATATGCTGACTGACGAGGGTATCTCGGCCCTCGAGAACTGTCGCAGCCTGAAGACGCTCAATATTGCTGGCAACCCAATTATCGGAGCATCCCTAGTCAAACTATCCCCAACCATTGAATCTCTGACGCTCTCCGATTGCCGTCGCTTTCAGGGACAACATCTGTCCAACATCTGCAAGGTGTTCACCAACCTAAAGACCTTGAACTTGAACATTGACACAATGAGCTTTAACGTCTTTCAAACGATGATCAAGGAGAACTCGGGCGCCTCTTTGGAGGTGCTGCGCATAAGCGCCGTGGAGACGTTCGAGTACGTGGCCCAGCTGCCAAACCTCAAAAGCTTGACCATCTATATCAGCCTGCCTTGCCGCACATTGCGCTTGGAGCTTTTCCAGCAGCTGGCCGAGCACAAGGCCGAGAAGCTGGAGCGCCTAGAGGTGTGTGGAGGCTCCGGCTTGTCCCCGGGCATCTTTCCTCAAATTGCCAAACTAAGAGGCCTGCGCACTCTTATCCTACCCGATATCCGGGCCATGTCTGACAATGACCTGACGACGTTTTCAAGCCTCAAAATGCTGGAGCAGATCAACCTAAAGTACAGCCACCTGCACGACTCCTCGGTCTTCTTTCTCTTTGACTCATGCCCCAAGCTGCACACCCTCTGCCTAGACAATTGCGAATGCATTACCGAGAAGCTGGTGCATGGAATCATCAAGAAATTGCGCGCGGACATTGACAACAAGGAGAATCAACGCAGCTTGCCAGTTCAGCTCTGTGTGTCGGAGACAAAAATCAACACTCTTATCAAGCATGTGAGTTGAGGGCATGTACTTACGCGTAAAGTGAATTGTTTGACAATATTTGGTTGTGTTTTCAGCATCCCGATGTCAAGCCCAAAGATATCCTCGAGGTGAAGCACTATTGCGATTGTCACTATGAATCCAGCGTCGGGTTTCGAGGCTTTGACGTTGAGCTGGACGATCTGGGTGATCTGGGCGATCTGGGTGATCAGGACGAAGATGTGGACAGCGATGTCGAGTCGGACGATTACAGCGATGATGATTTCGGTTTCATAAGCAGTGACGACCTCGAAGACCCCGACAATGAGATTGGCTACCATCCACCCGGATGGTCCTTCATGTCCGCATAAATAATGCTACTGCTGCTGCTATTATAATGTAAATTTTTCAACTGTTATCCTTTAGATTGATCTGCCACATCGCTGCATTGAATTTGATTAATTTTAACACACGTTGGGGTTCAGGAATTTCCCCACTGTTTAATTTCATAATTATACTTACTTATTTTGGACAAATAAAGAAGTTCGAATGGACAATCGTAGTATTGTATTTTCATTTATTTTATGTATAGTTTATGTGTGTTTAAAATTCACTTCTAGACGCATTTATTCATTTTACAACTATAAATTGTCTTTCATTTTGTTGAAAACCTAAAAATCATCGTTGTTCACTTTGTGTTTGTTTCTTTGTTGTATTGTACGTTCTGCCATGGCAATTGCATTTTATTTGCATTAATTAAGCGCTAATTGGGGTTTTTGTTTGTTCTTAATTTTTGGGTAGGATTCACTTAGATTTGTGAGGCAACATTCATTTTAATTGACTTTTGAAAATTGCACCAAAGGGTTTTGCGTTTGCCAACATAATTAATTGCAGAAGGAATGAATAAGTAATTAAATTCACGTTAAATACTAATTAGCTTAAATGGGAAACACTTGAGAATAGCACAATATGTAGATAAATAGGATTAACAATCTCATATATAATTATAGGATATATATAGTTTAAAGCACAGTGAATTTCGTTTGTTGCAACTGGAGACAAACATAACACAAATATAATACTTTCACGAGTGTGGAGGGAGGGAGAAGCTTAAACATACAACACCTTCTCTACAGATATGTGATACGCAGTAACAATAATAAAGTTGAGAATCGTTTTCCAAGCATTCAGTTGATAGTTTATAGTTTATAGTTTAGAGTTATTGTTTAAGTAGCTAACGACGATTCATTCGATTATTGCAGTTCGCGTGGCTGTGCTGTGCAAATGCGTGGGCGTGGGCAAGGATGAGATTCGGAGGAGGGTGTAAACGTGGCCTAAGCTAGGATGCTCTATGTATACTCTATAATACCATGTTCATGCATGTATGTATATGCCTTGTATATAACTATGTGTGGTATGCATGTATGTATGTATCTATATTTCTTCTGATAAATTATTGTACTCTCTTGCTAGTGCCAAATGCCATTTGGCCGCATTTTATAATTGTCCAATTGCCATTCCAATTCCATCATCAATCCATTCCATAATCGTTTGAGTATCTCTTTCCTCTCCTTTTGTCCAACATACGAGTATTTGGTTGAGATTATTATTGCATTTGTATTGCCAGCCTTGAGGCCTTAGAGGGTGACGTCGTGCTCCTCATCGAGCATTTCGACAAAGGCCCGCGGCACGAGTCCCTTCATGAGTCCCTGCTTTGCGTACATGTAGTCCTCATTAACGGGCGAGCACTCGGTGACAAATATGACCTACAGATGCAGATGCACGCAATTAGATAAGGATCTGCCACTGCAAGGCCTGCACACTCACCTCGTTCGCGTTCAGATTAAGCTCGGTGTGATCCTTGGCGTCATATGAGCAGAGGACACGTGCCCGCTGCATTTGATCCGTGTTGACGTGCATGGGCTGATTGGTCGGCCTGTGGCCTGTTGATGCCTGACTGCTGCTGCTGTTATTGTTGCCCGGACCAGCACGGGTTGCCGATGGTCCGCCCGGTGCGTTGGACTTGCTGGCACTGGCGTTGCTCTGGTCGAGCGGTATGTATGGTGTCGGGCCTCCCAAGCTGATGGAAGACGCAGAGGCAGATGCAGAGTTTAATGGTGATTGTGATTTGATTATGCTGCTCAAATGGAAAGGGAGGCGGGCGCTACGGAAACCGGATTTGATTATGTGCAAAAAACAACAACAACAACAATAACGACAAGTAAAAACCTATCGCTTAAATTACGTATAAGACTTTTTTGTATAAATAATGTTAACTGGAATCTGGTTGGAATCAATTTGTTTTCATTTGAATTTGCATTGAGATTAAACTGTGGATATGGCTGTCGGATCGAATTCGATGTTAAAGTCTTCGAGGAGATTCGTCAGGGACTTGTCAATTTCATTATCGCTATCTAGGGCTACTCCCACTAGGGAGTCGGAATCACAGGAATGCATCGACACAGAGCTGGGAGGCCCACCAACATCAACATCTTCGCTATTGATGCGCAGGCGAGGCTTGGGATGCTGCATTCTGTAAGACCACAAAACAATAACCGAGAGTGAGACGATCAGTGGCTAGCTCGATGCCGCGACCATTCTACACGGAGTGCACGAGATTTGCTGTTGGTGCCTAGTCGAGAGTCTTTCTGTTCGTCTGTCATCAGCATCATCATCTTCTTTGGTTACCAGATGGTGGATACTCACTTGGCCAGTTCCCGCTGCAGCTGCTCCATGACATCGCCGCACTGCTTGTAGTAGCGCACCTGCGTCTGGATAAAGGCATGCAGATGGCGCAAGTGGGAGGCCTGCGATGTGCTTATCCCGTCCAGCAGCAGCTTCGTTATTTCAGACTGGCGGTCAAACTCGGCCTGGGCCACGCGCAAGTCGCGCTCTGCCTGTGAAGAGAGAATAATTTAGTGATCTGGTGCAGCATGACCGATGAGGCATAGGTTTGGGCTTGGTCCAAGGTCTGATACCTGTTCTAAGGCAGCCTCTGGCGAGATGCCATCTTTCTGTGAACCACAATAAATCAAACCAACACAATCCACACAAAGGCAGCGCAAAGCAAAGTAGGAAAAATATCGAAAGTCAATAAGTCACCACTCCTCCCCGTTTCCACGACCCCCCTGGAGCTCCCACCACTCACCGACTGCTGGCCCAGCATGCTGCGCGCCTTCTTCACCCGGTTCTTGCAGGCGTCCAGATCCAAGCGCTTCGTATCGAGGATGCCGCGCTCTTTGCTAATCGTCTTCATTTCGCCCTCCAAGAATTTGCGCAACGGTTGCGTAAAGCAAATGCCCGAGGTGGCTATGAAGTCGTGCTCGCACTGGCCCAGCTTCTGCTCGGCCTGCCCGACCTTGATCAGGGCCTGGCCGTAGGGCAAGTCTTGTCCAAAGTCCCCGCCGGCCTCAATCATGTCCAAGGCCAAGTGCTCCAGGTTACTCAATCGTTTGGGCTTCGACTTTTCTATCTTTTCGAATATGTAGTCTTCGACACGGTTCTGTGGATTCGGTATGAGCACCGATTCTGTGTCCTTCACGAGCTTCTCCGTCCATGTCTTGGTCACGTCGGCACGCTCGGCAAGATTTTGGAAATGCAAGTCGTATTCGGTGCGTTCGGTGGTGCCAAGCTTCTCCTCGGTCAGCTGTGGGGTAAAAGGGCAAAGAGCGTCAGTGCTGAGTGCTTGTATGGGCCCCAAGCCCAACCCCCAAAATCCCATTCATCCCCACCCGTTTTTTCTCGCACCCATCATTGATTTCTTTACCTGCACCACACGCGATATTGTGCTGCCTGCCTCCTTCACCAGGTTCTTCATGTTGAAATGGGGTAGATTTATGTTCATTTTGGAGTGTTTTTACTTCCCAGCCACTTATGAAATAATATTTTATTTTATTTGTTCGAATTGGTTTGTATTTAAAATAGGGATGTCCAAAATATATCAATCGACATCGATATTTTTTCACAATAAGAACAAATGTTATCGAGATATTTGTTTTGCCAAAATATCTATATATTGATATTTCTTTGCGATATTTTTTCATATTTTATGTTTGGTATGTTGTATATAATTATATTGTATTGGGGTATATTGTATTTGTGTACAAAAGTGGATGTGTGTAACGCACATAAGGAAATATTTCCGACCCCATAAAGTAAATGATTAGCATCAATAGCCGAGTCGATAGAGAGATGTCTGTCCGTCCGTACATATAAGGTAGATCTTAGGCTTAGTAATATTACTAGCTAGTTAGGAGTCTCCGCTCTAAAAAAATAACTTGAACCGATATATCAATCAATTCTGCACAAGATTGAATAGTTTTCACGACTTCCTTTTGTTGGAATGTTTACATATTAAGAAGACCCTATCGGGACTACGGGATTTTTTGTGTGTATTTTCAAATTTTCCATCTCCAGCGATTTACCCATGGAATTAATTAAAATTTGCATTTTTATTAAAAGCTAGGGATAGTTAAAGTCTAAGGAAGATACTGTACTTGGGCACCGAGCCTAATTAATCTGCTTCCAGAAGCCGCCGCAATGGCAATGCAGCCACTTATTGAACCAGGCCTTCAGAGCCGAAGTCTTGGCCACTTTGTTGGCATTGTTGACAAAGACAAAGCCACAGCGGGCGCATCGTCTGATGGTAGTGGGATGGGCGCCGAGCTGCAGATTGCTGACGCCATCTTTCACCGACCTGGCAAACACCACATCCTCCACCTCCATGTCCTGCAGGCACGTCGGCTCTACCAGGGAGGTGAACATGAGGTGGCCCGACTTCACGGCAGCAAATCCCTGGGCACTGAGCAGCGTCGTCGGGTTGAACTTGTTCAGCTGAGGAATGAGAAGCTGCTTCGAGAGCAGACTGCACTCGTCCAAGAGCATATCGTCCGGCTCTGCGGGGTTCTGGGCCAGGCGCGTGAGCAGACGGAACAGAATGACCAGCACGTCAATGTTCTCCATGATCTTGGTGTAGACGGGCAGGCATTGGGTGTTCAGCAGACCCCAGATGCGTATCATCACGAGCAACTCCCTCAGACTGCTAATGGCGTTGATGTCCCGGCTGATGTCGTAGCTGGGACGCTTACCGGACAGCTTGCACTTCATTACCTCTTCGGGCAGGCGGTTGAGCATGTTGACTGCCAGATCGGTGACCCACTGAATCAGTGGCTGAAGGCTCTGCAGCATCACTGGCTCCACTGTAAAGTCCTTGGCATCGAGGTTCAGCATCACAGTGTCCACGTCCGGTATGGACTCGTTCAGCTTCGTCGTCAGGTTGTCGGCGGGCCCTTTGTCCTGATATCCGAGGTCGGAGGGGCGCAGAAGGCTCTTGAAGGTGGTGGATATGGCATGAAGGATGATCAGATTGTCAAACTCCTGCTGCTGCACGCGGCACAGATTGCTCTTGAGGGCCAGGAAGTTGGCGTAGTAATAATTCTTCACAAACGAAGGCTGCCGCGAAAAGTTGTCCGTCAGCTTCTCCACCAAGGGCTCCAGGCTGCCAAGGTTCAGCAGCAGCACGTCGCTGGCATCGCAACCCGTGACAATGCAGTACTCCAGCAGGAGCAGGGCGGATCCACTCTGCTTCAGCGGGGGCGCTTGCATGGCATACAGCTGGGCGTGCGTATCGAAGATCAGGAGCATTTGGCTGGTGGGCGTGAGGTCGCCGCTCACGAATTTCACTCCACTGCCGTCGGACACGGACACTTTGTCGAACTGCGTGTGGTTCAGCTGCTTCAGAGAGTTGGGCTCCAGCACCTGGACACTGTTGTCCTGGAGTATAGCGTAGACCGGGGAGCAATCCGCAGCGGTCGGCACAAGGCGTGAGAGGCAGAGGTCGGCCAGCGGCGCATTCAAATGAAGTTTGGCCACCTGCTCCCAGCTTTCGGACTGCACGAACTCGTTTCCCTTGTTGGAGCCGCCTCCCTGCAGCAGGGTGTGCACACTCTGATGCCTGCGCGTGAGGGTCCACTGCTCCAGCAAGCTGCCGCCCTCAGGACAGGAGTAGGCTATGAAGATCACGTCGTCGTTGGCCACCCGCGTCCACTTCAGGTGACTGATGAGCTTGCCCTCCAGCGGATTGAGGAATATGCTGGCCTGCGACTCGGACTTGATGGCCATGTGCTGCTCCAGGCCCAGGTCTCCTTCCATCACCAGGGAGATCTTGAAGCACTGCACGAGCTGCTGCTGCCAGCCACAGCTGAAGGCCACATTGACGGCTCCCGAGGGACTCGGCGCCATGCTGCAGTGCTCTATGAAGCTCCTGGAGATGCCAATGCTGTGCATGACGGGCGTCAGCTCTACAATCTCGCTGCAGGCACCCTCGGTGCTGGGGAACTTTTGCAGCAGGGGCAGGCTGAATGCGCCCAGGAGGCCGGAAGATGTCAGCAGAATGCAGCCTTCGCTGGCCACCCCGCCGAAGCCGCTGAGCGTGGGCCGCTGCTCCAGACGCTCAAACTTCTCCGCATAGTAGGTGTGCTCCTTCTTCTGGGGATTGAACAGGACTCCCTTGCCGTTGTGGAAGAACTTGGCCTCTATGATGTCCTCGCTTGGGATGTTGGCATGGTACTGCAGCAGCCAGATGTTGATGGACTGATGCTTGGGCTGCCAAATCTCCACGCGTCCGCCCACATAGCCGAGCAGCAGCTGCTCCCCGTTGGCACTCCACTCGAGCACATTGATTAGGGACTTTGAGGAGCACACCTTGTAGTACTCCCACGGCGTCACAATATCGCTGACATACACATGACTGTTGCTGGCCCCCACGGCCACGCCGGCACCGCTGCTGCTGTCGCCAGGACCATGAGACACGATGGCGCTCTGAAGTGAGCTGAACGCGATAATGTTGCGGGCCGACACAGAGCACAGCACCACTTTTTGGGGAAACACGCTGTCCTTGCCGAACTCCTTGCTCTCCACCTTGTAGAGAATCGTCATTTTGCAAAACAAATTTCTCGTAAACAAAACAATTCGGCAAGCGCAAGAGGTGGACAACCCGTCCTGCCAGTGACGGCCGTAAATATCGAAACTAATCTAGTGGTCGTTCACACCACAACACTTTACACGGCAACACAAGACCAGTCTAGTCTGGAATGTATTTTGGGAACATATTTTATTCTGACTAGTCTTCAAGACGAATATGTAAAGATACAACGGCTGCTTCACTGCAATTTTTAAGTGTGGCGAACACGAGAGTAGTGGGAGTATCGATAGTTCGCATTAATCGCCACACTGCAACTCATCGATAGTCGTTTCTTCAGCTTTTATTTTGCTTTTTTACTTTTGGAAATTAATTAATAATTTGAAAATGAATTAATTATTTAATTCAATAAACAATCGCAGTCAAATGAGGAAATCGACACTGTACAGCGCAGCTGCTTGTCGGCTTTTAGTTTGACAGCATCCAAACAAGAGTCGCAAAGTAAACCGGCTTTTTGTTGTTGTTGTTATCTTTCCAATCTGTTTGAAGCGTTTTCGAAAGTTTAATGAACTCCGACGCAGCGTACATTAACTTACGGCAATAAATACACAATGATTAAGATTAGGCCTAACTAGAAACGAGAGTGACGCAGGAGCCCTGCACCCTGCACCTACACCAGATTGGCGTAGCGCAAGCCCTTGACCAGGCTGCCGCTGAAGCTGTCGCTGTCGATGAAGCGAATGCCATCGGCGAGACAGGACTGCACGCTGCAAGGATACTCTGCACCGTACGCACTGCCGTCCCATCGTATCTGCAGCTCGTAGGACAGCTCCGGGGTAAGTACACACGCCTCCTCGCGCCGCCAGCTGAGGTGCAAGTCGCAATTGTATTTCGTGCTCTGATTCTGAATGATGTGACTCCACACGGGATTGCTGGGGGCGTCCACGCCGTCGGCCGGCAGCTCGCACAGGTCCAGGCGCAGGGACTCGCGATACTCCAGAGGCAGCTGAACCTGAACGTGGCCAAAGTTGCCGGTCAGGTTGGGGGGCAGGCGACTGTTGATGACCACTCCCATGAGCGAGATGAAGCGGGGGCTCCTGAGGCGGAGACGCCACAAGGGAGACTCTGCATCGACGGTGAACGGTCGGCAGGCCTTGTAGTAGCAGCGCTCCACTGAGACTATGGGAGCCGGAGCCGGAGATTGCGCCTCATCGGAAGCATTCACATTCACTGGCCACGAGTTGGCCTCCGGCCCCAGACCATGGACCACCAAGTCCGCATCGCTGGGACCCAGGCCCAGTTGCTCGCACTCCTGCTGGGTCCACTCGTAGACGTACCAAATGAGCAGCTTGTGCGGCTCCTTGCAGGCGGCAATGATCGTTTTGACGCACTCCTTGGACACGTGGACATAGTGCTCCTTCAGATGGGTCATGTACTGGGCATTGTTCACGCAGCAGCGCATGAAGAAGGTCATGCAGACCTCCAGCAGACTGTCCAGGCCCATGCACACACTCAGCTCCAGGGCCGGCAGAATGTTGGAGAAGCGCAGCTTCCTGGTGATGGCCACCAGCGAGTCGGCTATCAGCTCGTCTAGCAGATACTTCTCCGCCGCGTAGTAGAGCTCAATGCAAGCCACCAGCTCCAGGCCGTTGTAGTCCACGCTGCCCGTGTAGATGCACTCGAGCAGTACCTTGAAGATGGCCGCACTGATGTCGTGTATCTCGATCTGCGGCTCGCTCTCCTGCATCGGTCCGAAGAACATGGCCTCAAAGACGGGACTGGCGGCACTCAGGATCAGTTTGTGGCACTTCAACTGCTCCTCGCAGACGTGGAACACGCAGTCCGTGTACTTCTCCCCGTGCAGAAGCTCAGCATAGCGGCGTCCCAGCAGGCTGCCCCCGTTGGCCTGCTCCTTGTGATGGGTCACGGCCACTTCCATCGCAGAGCTGTTCATCTGAAAGAGGCGGAGAAAGGCCATAAATATGGATGAGATGAGAAGAGAACAGATACTGAAAACCGGCTGCCAATTTGCTCGTGCCAAGGTGGGCCATCAATCATTCCTTAGATAATGGAAACTATTTCGGGTCGGGCGAATAGAAAGCGAGAAGCGCCAAACCACAGCCGAAAAAAAGAAAGATAGAGAACGAAAAAGGTTGAATTGAAATTTGTTTGCTGGCAGTTAACCGATTAGGGAACCACAAGTCTCCCAAGAGGGAGTGTCTCTTTACGATAGTTTCTTTTTGGGAGATCTGATTTGATAAGAAAACATTATTTAAGAATGTCATGCCCCTGTATTGCTCAAGGGCAATAGTATACCGTACACCGTACAGCGTACACCGACAAGTGCCCGTTCTATGGTGACAACGTGACGCAATTTGAATGGAATAATATGAATTGAATTGAATTGCTAAATCTGGCTTAGATTTCCTTAGTCATTGCCCAGAACGTGCCATACATCTACACAAGCACTCGTACATGCTCAGGCCAGACGTATTTCGTTTATCAATAAGCCAGAATAATACTACGGAGTGTCGTTAGTTATTCACATCTAATGCCGGCATTCGCATTCGTTCCACTAGAGCATGTACGAGCATGTGTATATTTGGAGGGGGCTTTCGGTTGCCTATTTATATTTGAGTGTTGTTTTTGCTCAGGCGGTAATACATAACCGGTTTAAAGTGTTTTTCTATACATTTCAGTTGTCTAGGCTATGGTGACTTCCAAGGGGACTATCGCATAAGCATAGAACGCATGCTTATGTGCATCCCGAAGTACTCTCGATAGAGCTGGTTACTATAATGAACGAAAAATACGAGAATCCCTGCAAAACTATTTACAGCTGATGGACTATGTCCATAGATTGTAGCGTGCATATGTATTTTGCGGGCTCGGCTCCATCGAGAAGTGTTAATCTTCGATTTTGAGCATTTGGGATTCCTGACTCCGAACCCCCCCCACTCCGAACGATTGTTTGTTTACCTTCCCCCGGAGACAATCAATTATCTCGTGATCCCTCATATATTGCGGCGCAGATTGTTTACTTTACTGTTGTCGCCCTCCTGAATCGCAATTCAATATTGCAGAAAAATCACCTTCGAGCGGTGAAGGGATCACCGATTTGTGGTGGACGACCTTAAAACAAATTCCGTATGATTTTGGTATTTGGGTAATTTTTGAAACAAAATTGGATGATTTGAGTGGATATTTTTCCAAGCACAGAAACACACCTTTTGGCACTGTGACAAATTCTCTTCAAACAAAAGCGATCGCACTGTCTGGGGATCTGTATAGTATATGGCTGCAGTTCTATATAGTGTTGAAATTCAATTGGATCGAATAGTTCACGAGAATAGAAGTGAATTATGCTTTGGCAGCCGAGGAGGGAGTCAGCCGCCTGAACTTGACCGATATCGCGGACTTTATATGCTGATCGGATCGCACACGGCAAACCAAAACAGACGCAACCAGCTGTTCGTTGCGGAGAACGAGGCTGATCGAGAACGCAAAGAACTGAGAACTGAGAACCGTTGAGCGCAACGCGCCACCTTCAACTGATCCGACGGCCAGCCAGCAGCCAGGTAGAGGTCCGATCCGATCGCTGGCCGCTCTCTCGCGAGCTCGATCTTGCCTCTCTCTGGCCATACCTCTCAATGTTCTCAGTTCTTGGTCACTCAGCTCTGATGAAGGTGATAAAGAAACATCCCACTGTTGGCTTAGATTCTTAGACACACTTTTCGTATTCTTTGCTCTAGCAAACGAGTTCCTATGGAACCCAGGAGCACACAATTATGTTCCTATATCCCATTCGAAGCCACAATTCAAGGAAATGTCGTTGCCGCTTGTTTGCTGCTATCTTTATAATGGTGGCTCTCCCGCCTTCGTTGAGATTACAAATTAAGCGTCTGCCAGCGATTGCCAACCTTGAACCCTTTCAATTGCCTCTTCTTCAGTTCAGGCCGTGGAGAAGCTGCCAGAAGCGAAGGAGAAGCCACACCACCACACCAAAGCAAAGCAAAGCAAAGCAAAGTTATTTCTGTAAGCCCAACCAACCATCTTGCATTCTCTTCCCTTGGGAGTGTGTGGTGCGCTGGGTACATGGATTCATGCAGCGCCAGAAGAGGCAAACTTATCTGATCTTTGATGGAATACAATTTCTTATCTAATCACACATAATCGTAGCTAATTTTAAATGTTTGTTTTGACAGGCGTGAGTCGCTGTAGTTTATGGAATCGCAACCTTGATTAACTTTTGAGAATTTCAATTGATTTCTCTGTAGAGTATTCTGACTTCGGTGTTGGGCCTCGGATGCCTCCAGGCGGTTGCTTGGTTCTTCAGTTGGGGCAGCTGCTTTGGCTCAGACCTTAACTTTGGCATGTGGCTGGGGGAAACAGGTAATGTCGAGGCCTCTCAAGGGAGGCTGGGCCCTCACGCACATTCACGCAAACACACACACACACACACACACACGCACGCACAAACACTTGCTCACGCACGTGTGGGTTCGTTTTATGGTTTGCCAAGCCTCCTCATGCTGCTCTGACCCTTCTCTTTCTCTCTTGCAGCCCCCCTGGCATGCACCTGTCGCCCGGACATCTCAGAGTTGTGCTCATTCTGTCCCTGCTGCAGGATCTGCAGATACGACCACAGAAGGATACATTCAGGGCACATCTCGAGCGGGATCTGCGGCTGTGTCCGGCCTGCTTTGCGGGACAGCGTTGGCAGTGCGAGGAAATCTTCGAGGCCATCGCCGAGCCCTCGGACTGGAGCAAGCTGATCAAGGGAATCGCTCTGCTCTTCGATCGTCGGGAGATTTACTTTCTCCACTCGAATGAAGGGTCCCAGCTGGTGGCCAAGAGAAAGGCCAATGGGCAGTCTTGCCGCAATGTGGACTCCCTGCGAAGAGAATTTATTGAGATGGCCGAGCGTCCCGGTGGGTTCCATCTTTGCCATGGCGGACGCGGGACCCCTCGCTTCGTGAGCTACTTGGAGCAGCGCGGCCATGAGGCTGCCACCATCTGGTACTACATGATGCACAGCATCACCCCGTTGCTGATGCAGGAACTTTTTCTGATGGAGTTTCCTGTGCCACGGAGCTACGGCGCGTGTGGCCTGACTCACTTTCAAGCCTATGCCGGACACACTCTGCAGCACTACGCCGCTGCTGGCGAGGATCTGCGCCTGGAAATTGCCAGACAAGTGCTTCAGCTGTCGCTGAAGCTCACCTTTGGCTTTGCGGACTTTCGCATCTTCCTAACGGACTTGACGGCCGACAATCTGGCCTTTGACGAGCCCAGCCAGCGAGTGCTGCTCATCGACCTGGACTCTGTGGTCCTAGTGGACGCGGCAGCTCCCCTGGGCAACGCCCAGAAGTACGAGCCCCTGCCTGGCGATGGATTCACGTTCGATGTAAAGCAATTTTGCGGTGGCCAGCTGCTGGACGCGAATGTGTATCAGGCCTGTCGGCTGCTCAAAGACTTTCTTCTGCAGGATCTGGCCAACGGGAGGCTGGAGCTGCTGCTGGACCAATGCGTGCGATGCGACGACGCGACATGTGATATGCGCTTCCAGCAGGCGTACGACTTGCTCAAGCTTCTCGAGGAGCTGCTGGACAGAAGACGGGATTAGGGTAACATATGGGAGGATACTTTAATTTAAGTAGGTAACCATGTTTAATCATACAACTCATCCATTAATCCATTACACTCAATAAACGGTCTAAGTGAACTCTGCCCGAACTTCTTTGAAGGAGTTTGGAGTGGCAGCAGCAGTTGGCTGCTGCCGTTAGCTTAGGTATAGGTTAAGGTTTAGGTTTAGGTTTGGGAGGGGGAAACATAGACATACCAACAGACACAGACATTGGCTATCGTGTCTGCTGGCTATTGTATGGCTGGCCGGAATCCCGGTCCAAGTCCCGATCCCGATCCGAGCTTAAATAATATCACGGGGAAAACTCAGGAAGTGTATGGAATTGGACACGTGGTGTGTGATGTCTGTGAGGGTCTCCTTGTGGACGCCGCCGAACAGAATCAGCTCGCCATTGCCGGCAATGAGGCTGGACAGGATGAGGCGATCGGGTGCTCCCCGCAACACGCCAAAGTTCTTGTACTCCACCCAGTCGAGGGCGGGTTCGCTGCTGCTGAGTATGCTCGAGATGTCGCACACGAACAGGGATTGCACATTACAGCGCAGTCGCTTCGGGGAGGGCGCGCGCAGCGGCTGGGGCTCCACCTGGGCGGCGGCGGGCGCGCTCCGCCGCGAGTTCCGTATGGCATTCATCTTCTCTTCCATGCGGCGGATGCGTTCATTGTGATCTCGCGAAGCGCTGCGTGACCGCGTGGGCACATTGAAGGCGGCCATTCGAAAGGGATCCTGTGTGGGGAGGAGGAATCATGAATTACATTGGGGAAGTTGCTAAATGGATCGTTTCGGTGGTCCACTTACCTCGTACATCTCATCGAAGCGCTTGGGCAGTCGCGGCTCGTTGTCGCGACACCGCAGGGCCAGATTGCGCTGAAGACGCTGGGCGGCATCCACGTCCCCATCGGCAGCGGCCAGCGAGGGAGCGCGCACTGGCGGTGAGGGTGGCGAAGGGGCTGCGGCGGGTGGGGCCGGGGCTGGGGGCGCGTGCAAATCGCTCAAGCGACCGGATCGTGGCTGATAATTGTTATTGTTGTTGTTCACATTGTTGTTGTGCATGAACTGCTGCGCCTGCTGCATGTGCTGGTTGAGAATGGCCCGTCGATTGGCCAAATACTGTTCCTGCGGAGCCAGAGCGCCGCCAGCTCCTCCGCCCGCCACCACACGATTCGCTCGGTTTTGGCCCAAGCCGCCTCCTAGGCCGCCGGCTAGTCGGCGCTCTGGCATCAGGATACGCTGGCCCCGCTGTGGCATATTCTGGTGAGGATTGGGTGGCGGCGGGCCGCGTCCGCCGACCACGGGCACCCGACTCTGCTTCATCATTTGAAAGTCTTGCGGCATGTTGGGCGAGGGGCCCACCACCACGAGGTAGTTGTTGACTTTGCAGCCGGGATTGCACCACATGTGGACGGCCCCGAAGCGCTTGTTGCGAACCGTCAGCGTCTTCCACGACCACACATCTCTCGTCATGTCCAAGAGCCAGGCGTCCGTGTAGACCCGATTGGCTCCGCCACAGCCTCCCACGACCAGAAGATGATTCTTGTCCAGCTCGATCTGGATTTGTCCGTATCGCGCACTGGGCCGCGTGTTGCCCACGAAGAGAGGCTGCCACCAGCGCTGCTCGGGCAGGTCCAGCACCCAAGTGTCGTTGGAGTTGATGTTGACATCGTCTGTGATCTGGTAGCCACCGAACACCACCATGCGGTCGCCGTGCACCGTGGCCGAGTGGCCAGCCATGGGCGGCGGACAGGGCATGGTGTTCCGCAGCAACCAGCGATTCTTTCCGAGATCGTAGTAGTGCAGCTCGTCGAACAGGCACCACGGCTGGTAGGGCGGATGCAGCGAGGGGTAGCGCCAGCCGCCAAATAGCACGAGCTGGTCCTTCCAGGCCACCATGGAGGCGCTGCCCTTGGGCGAAGGATAGGTGCCCGTGGCCACAGGCCGTGCCCAGCGCATGTGCGTCAGATCGAAGCGCCAGAGATCGTTGAAGGTGGTGTCCGAGGTGGATCCGCCGCCGAACACATACATGGAGTTGCGCTGACGCACAGCCGAGTGGGCAAAGCGTCCAGCAATAAAGGCCACGGGTGAGCTGCTCGCAGCGGCGGCCGTTTGTGGCGAGAAGACTTCCCAGCGCAGCCGAAAGTCGGTCAGGCCTTTCTCGAGGTTGAACTTGGAGCGGCGCACGAGATCTGGGGAGGCATAGAGCAGAGGAAGTTAGAGCATACCGTTCTCATCGATTGCAGCCACACGAATACTCACTCTTGACAATGGCATGCCAGCGCTTGCAGACGATGCTGCAGTGCTCCAGGTCCCCGTAGGGTGGTAGGTAGGTGAAGATGAACTCGAGAATCTCGTCGGGCAGCACATTCAGACTGGCGTAGAGCAGGGGCGAGGCTGGGGTCATGTCACAATTTTGATTCTCGCTGTCGACCTTGTGATTGCACGTGTCCATTGAGGGTCCTGTCCTTGTGTCCTTCTGAGTACTGTCCTTCTGCGTACTGTGGTGTCCTTCACCTTCAGATGCTGCGCCACTGAAACAGCAAATGGGGATGGGGAGCAGGCACACGTGTGTGGAGTCACTAGGGGCACAGCCAGGCTCGACTTTCAGCCTGAATTTGGCTTTCGAATTTGGCGTTTTTTACGTTTTACAAATATAATATGATTTATAAACAGTGGAGATCAGTGTAACCGTGGATTTAAGAATAAAACATACCTCCGGACCCTTGGGAATATACCGAAATATACTTTGTCAATTTCCACATGTGAATACCGTAAATATACTAAGAAAAAAACGATATTACCCTACGTAGCCCCTTTTTTTTTAAACAAGGTTAACAACTTTAGTAAAACCGCAAATGAGATTCTCTTTGTAGATACATTTTATATCAACTTGTATCAAATTCTTCAAGTTTTTTATCTTCTCGCAGCAATTTTGAGCTGCGTCCGCGCTTCGTTGTGAATGGCAATCTGTCCCAATCGCCAAATTGCACGTTCCTCTTTGTTTATGTTTTACTTACGTCCAAAATGAGTGCAACAACTGACAAGAAGGTGGTCATAAATAAGCGCCAAAAGGGTTTGTCGCGAGAGGCTTTGGGAAAACTGAGTCAAAAGGAGCTGATTGATAAAATAGTCCAACTGGAGGCGTACAACTTTCAGCTGAGAAATCTTCTGCACAAGAAACTAACGGAACATGACCGAAACAATTCGGAATATGCGGAATTGTTGGGCAAAGAAACGGAGGCCATTGTTCCAAAGGAGGCGACACAGTCCAGCAAGGTGCAGAAACAACGTAAGTTCGACTGGAGTAGGTAAGCGGGCACTCATAATGGATTCCAAACAAGATTTCCTGTTGCATCTTCCCTTCGCAGCGCTCACAGACGTCATGTTTTGCTGAAAGTAACCTACTTTGGCTGGGACTACCAGGGTTTTGCCTGCCAGGAGGATTCCAACGATACCATTGGTGGGTTCCACTTACTTGAAACCTTAATATTTAAGACCATTTTATGCTCCCCCTTTGGAATCAGAGTCCCATTTGTTTCGTGCCCTGACGCGTACCTGTCTCATCGAATCACGTGCCACATCGAACTACCATCGCTGTGGACGAACGGACAAGGAAGTGAGCGCCTTCTGCCAGGTTATCTCTATCGATTTGCGCAGCAAGCATGCGCCTGAGACTCAGCTGGAAGCTGCTGCCCTCTCATCCGAAATCGACTACTGTGGCCTCCTCAACCGGGTGCTGCCCAAGAACATTCAGTGTGTCGCCTGGATGCCGTTACGGAGTCCTGTGTACAGTGCCCGCTTTGACTGCACCTCGCGTAGCTATCGATACTACTTCCCCAAGGGTGACCTGAACATTGAAGCCATGCAGGAGGCCTGCAAGCTGCTGGTTGGACATTCTGATTTTAGGAACTTTTGCAAAATGGATGTGCACAATGGAGTCACGAAATTCATACGGAATCTGCAGGCAGCCCGAGTGGCGCCCTGCGAAGAGAGGTTAACGCATACAGGTAAATATGCCATGAGGTTATCTGTTCCATTTGCTGGGACTCTATTGTTTTCGTCTTGCAATAGGTTATGATATGTATTATCTGGAGATCAAAGCAAATGCCTTCCTCTGGCATCAGATAAGGTGCATCATGGCCGTGCTGCTGCTCGTGGGTCAGCAAAGAGAGCAGCCTCGCATTGTAAGCGACCTTCTGGATGTGGAAACTAATCCTTGCAAGCCACAGTACACGCCTGCCCTCGGGTTGCCCCTGAATCTGTTCCATTGTGATTTTCGAGACAGGACGACGCGGAAAATGAACCATCATCCAGCTGATGGTGATGAAGATGACGAGGCCATGGATACGTCTGCAACTAAAGTGGAAATCGACGAGAGTCCTTCGGTTGGAAAAGATCTTACAAATTGGATTTACAACGAGGAGAACTTGCAGAAGCTCATCGAGAACGTCCAATGCGAGTGGACGCAGTTCAGTGTGAAGAGCACCATGATACGAAATGTTCTCCAGCAGCTGGAGCACCTCTTGGAAGCGAACTACCACCAAAAAGAAAGTGTGACAGCGCAGGTCCTGCTGCTACAGGACTCCGTCAAGCCGCGCCAGTATCTGCCTCTTCTGGAACGCAAGCGCTGTGGTGAGTGCTCTGCGGCAATTGCACAGTTTATTTTGTAACTGAATTCCTTTTGCAGAGAGCCTGGAGAATCGCATTGAGCACTTTGTGAAAAAGCAACGACTGATAGTCAAGGATGAAAGCTGAACCATTGGACCTTGCTAAGTGCGCTACATCCCGGCCATACAGCGGCCGTGTTTATATCGGAAATGTATTGTGCACTTTTAGAGTAAATATATATTAATGTTCATGAACTTGTACAACGTTTCGCAGCTTAGAATAGAGTCTAGGTAAGTAATAAGTTTAGATTGTAACTCCGTACAATTTCTTAGATGCTACAGTTAGGGGAGGGGATTATGCTAGTACCTATAAGAGTCATCTATATGAATAGTTCTTTGTACGATAACAAAACGAAAGAAGGCTTCACTTAATTGCTGAAATGTACATTTAACTTGGTTCAACAAAGCAGTTTGTCCACAATCAGGTCTATTAGCCAACAACAAGTGATGAATGCTCTTACGTGCCCATAGATTTCGCTTTCTGCAGCCTGCAAGGAAAGACATCATGGGTCAGCTTCTCTTCCATAGACTATAGATTCCTACTTACTTTCTTCTCAAGATCTTCAGCCCAATGGCGCCCTCTCGCACATTCTTGAATAGCCCTATGGTTTCGGCGTGACTCATGCCCTGCACGGAGTTGCCATTGATCTCCACGATCTCATCGCCTGTGGATGGCAGAAATTTAGATGTTAAGGTTTTCAGATATTAAAGGCTTAGCTTACCCGCTTGCAAGGTGCCATCGTCTGCTGCCTGACCTGATGGAAACACCGTCTTCACAAAGATGCCCATGTTGCCCTTGGGCGAGTCGCGTCCACCCACAATGCTGAAGCCCAGGGACTTAAGCCCGGGACCCTTGAAGAAGGTAATGCTCTTGGCTGTGCAACGACCACTGCCTGGAAGATGGAAGATTGTTCTTCAATCAATACAAGTTCTCCACCGTACATTTGGGATTAGGGTTATTTGGGGTTAACGATTCTCACCCTCGCTCATGGAGGCTCGGATGACCTCGGCCATTTCCTCGTCGCGAATTGTTAGCTTGGCCACCGGCAGCGATGGACGATGATGCATTAGTGCGGCGGCAGGCGGTGCCAGAGATGAGCCGGAACTGACTGACGCTGACGCTGATGCCGTTGCCGATGCCGATGCCGAGGCTGGTGAGGATGAGGCATTAACATATGGATTAGGCGAGATTAGTGAGACGCTCTTTGGCGTGTGCTTGATGTATAGTGATTGGTGTTGTTGCTGCTGCTGCTGCTGCGTCTGGTTGTTAGTGAGATCAGTTGTTGTTGTTGTGGTTGTTGTTTGGGGGCTTGAGGGTGCTCCCACGCCCTCGGTTAGATTGTTAGGCGGCGTCTGCATGAACAGGCTCAGCCGCGAGGAGCTGAGTCGCGAGTGAGCGAACCGCAGCGAGCGGTAGTGCGAGTTGGCCAGGTTAATGGAGTTGCGGGCGTAGTGGGTGCGCTGGCCAAACTGCTGGGGGCCGCCGGGAGAGCCGGGCGGCGGCAGGGCGGAGCCCTCGGAGCACCGCTTGCGGGCCAGCAGCTGCCACTTCTCGTCGTCCGCCAACGAGGAGGCCACGCACACGCTCGCCGCTCGATTCGCATAGACGGGCGTGTAGGACACGTTCTCGTCGGCATTCTCGCTCGCCCGGTGGCTGGGTGAGGAGGAGCAGCTGCTGCTGCTGCCATGGCTGCTGCCGTGGTTGTTAAAGAGCGGTGTCGGTGTTAGAACCAAGCTAGAGCGCTGACCTGAGGAGCTGCGTGCTCGTCGTCGCAGCAGCTCGTGCTCCGGCGCACTCACGTCCAGCGAGTGGCGGGGCGTGGAGCTGCGGCGGTGCTGCATCAGGGGCATGGGCGTGGGCAGTGTGCTGACACTGGCCATCGATCGGGCGTCGCACTGGTCCTCGCCCCCATTCGGCCGCTCTCCATCCTCCCGCCTGCCGCCCTCCGGCTGCAGCTGGAGGCTCTGCATGCTGGTCAGGCTGTCCGTGCTCTGGGTGCGCTGCACATAGCTCAGCCTGTGGCGTTGTGTGCTCATCCCATCGATGCGGATTTTGGTATAGAAGTCGGTGACGGTGGTGATCTCGTCGTGCGCTATCACCAGGTCAATGCAGTTGTCCACGAAGATGCTCAGCAGGCGCTGCACCTCGGCAAACGACTGGATGCCCCGCAAATGTTTTCCATTCACGTTCACAATCTCATCGCCCAGCCGAAGGCGTCCATCCCTGAGGGGTAGAAGAACAATGGAGATTAGAATAAAGATCCATCGGATCCAGAATTTGGAACCCCTTTTGGAAGAATACTCACCTTTGGGCCATGCCGTAGGGCTCCAGTTCCACGATGAGATACCTATACTGCTGCTCGTTGCTGCTGGTCATCACCGTCTTGGGCGAGAGGACGATGCCGATGTAGTCCTCCTGGCACTTGCGCTCCAGCTTCAGCTGCCGGAACCGGCGGCGTATCGTCTCCGTCTCGTAGTCGTAGTTGTAGCCGCCCAGGGAAACGGGAGCACTGCAGATGCTGCTGTTGCGCAGCCCGGAGCCCGATCCAGTACCCATTCCCATTCCCATTCCCACTCCCTCCGAGGAGCTGAGCGAGATTAACGAGTTGCGCTTGAGGGTGCCCGAGGCAATAGATTCCGTATCTCCGCCGGAGATGCTTAGATTATTGCCCGGCCGGACTCCGACGCCGCCGCCGCTGCCGCCCACACCCCCGTCGCTGTCGTAGCCGGACTCGTTCGAACTCAGACAACTACTTAATCTTTGGTAAAGTGGTTCCCAGTCCTTGGACGTGATGCTGTCGTTGCGCGACACATCCGCTCTGCCCATCTGCTGCTCGGGGGAGCCTCTGTGGGGCAGCGGCGACCTGCTGAGGATGGTGACTATCTCCTGGTGCAGCTGCTCGCGCCGCTCCATCTGCTGCTGCTGGTGCTTCAGGTGGCCCGCACCCGAGCCGTGGTTCTCCTCCGGCAGAACCGAGAGGCGGGAGCGCAGAAAGGCGTAGGGAAACGC